CTATACATTCGTTTTAATTAATTCCACTTTTAAACAAACCATTTATTTAGTGAATGAAACCTAGATTAATTTTTAATTTAAGAAAATATTAATATTTTCTTAAATTTCAGACAACACGATTACTTTGTATCAGTAATACGGCATTAACTTTACTTGATAGTACAACGAAATTGGTGCTGAAAAAGCAACATGCATTCACATTACAGCAATGGCGAATTGGTGGTGGTACATCACGACATCAAATATTTCTGGAATTTCGTGGCACTAAATGGCAACTTCTTGGTTGGTTTTTTTTCTTTAATTTTCGTTAATGAAAGGTTTATTTTATTTGTTTATTTAATCCTTAGAAACTCATCTTTTCTTTTCTCTTCAGTGGTCTATTTATTTATTTATTTGATTCAATTTTCGCAGCTCCGAATTATAATCTCCTGAAATCAATTTCAATTTCTTTGTGGGAAATTATGCAAACAAGTACAAGTACCTCGGTGCAAAGATGCCTGAGCAGTATGAATATTAAGCGAGAAAGGCGTTCTGTCAAATCACAAACTGGTAAGCCGCTTTCTATGATGCTTTTGCGATCTAAATTAACCAAAAAGAATTTTTGCAATCGGATTCTAATGTTTACTTTATCTCTTTAATTTTTGACTGAATGAAATCATATGAAAGGGTATTAATCTATCTTATATGTGTATATGCATAGGACTGAAGTTCAAATTCATGGAAACTAACCTTTTCTTTTAAATGGAACTCCGTAGTAGTCGCAGATAAATCATTTGAATGAATTATTTGTAAGGATAATCATTATGGTGTATCGGTGGCTCAGTGGCAAGATAATTAACATCGGAAATGGGGGATTGGGTACTGATTCGACTTGCGCACAATGCTTCATAGGGCTGCAGGCCTAATGGAGAAAGCAAAGGAGAATAGAATTGCTCAGTGATTTATTGCTCAATTGAAAGCTCTGATGATGGGGTTCTGCTCCCAGCAGAAGTAAAAACTATCCTTCAAAAATCCGAGTGACGGTAGCAACTCAAATATACTCCTGTCGCCAGGACTCTTTGGCATAACTGACTATTGACTAGCCTGCGAAGCAAGTCTAACAGCAGTAGTGAGTGTTCAAAAAAGGATAATCAATATTCTAAGATATAGCATTTCAGATACAAGTTTACTAGTCCGGTTAAGAACTTTAATACTTGTTTTTTTTTCGCAATTTTTAATGCCATTTAATAATTGTAATTAACAGAATCTCTTAGTTTCTCGATTAGTTTGTTTATTTTTATTTCTTTATGGCTCCATAATTTTATTTTCATCTTATGATTTCCATCAAGTTTTGCATGGCAAACAGTTTTTATGAAAATCGAAAATCGATGACTTCAGTTTAATAAGAGTTTTCTAAGAGAATAATTTGCTTATTAAAATTCCTTTCAAAAAAACGAGATAAATTAAATTTATTTAACTTTTAATCTTGGAAGATTTTTTCATAATTCGAAAAGGAAGAAAAATTTTAGAGCATTCCACTTCCAGAAATTTTTTTTGAATGAATTTTTTTGATTCTCGATTAAAATTATCCATTTATTAGAAGTAATGAAATTAACAAAATGCCTTTTGTGCCTACAGTTCAAAATTTGCTTTTAACCCATTGCTAAAATTAGCAACCTGGAAGTAAAGATTCGCTTAAGCGATATTAATGACACTACCGAGAAAGTCGAAGTAATAGATGGATTCATAGCTTTTACAGCCGATAGCTATTCAAATATTTATTATTGAAACTTTTATAATTCAAAATCGATCAAAATCGATCAAAATTTCTATTTGATATCAACATTTGTCGAGGTAGTTTAAAAAGTCTCTGATAAATATATATATATATATATATATATTTATATTATTCTATCTATTTAGATGGTTTCAAGATTGGCTACTTTCTTTCGGAAAAATGATTATAGGAAGTCACTGTTGTTATAAAATTACAAAAGCTAATTTTTTTTCCAAAATTTCCGCCAGCTTAATCTAGAAAAAATATTTTCACAGATATCATGGGAATTGATTTCTGTACTTAGCATATATAATAGTTAATATATCTCGTTGTTACCAAAATTTCTAAAAACTTATCTCAATTTCTTTAATGAATATTCAAAATGTTGGAAAGTGGTTGTACCTTTTTGCTGTTGAAAAAACTAATTTAAAGCAGCCTTCGAATGAATAGGCTTTCGATCTTTCCTTTATTCATTAATTAAATCTTGACTTCATTCATATGACTATTTTATTAATCATGAACTTAATTAATCATAAATTTTACATATAAAAATTCGACGTTTAATAAGCAAAAAAATTATACCTGAATAGAGGAAATAGTCAATGTCAAGGGAATCTTATAACTGGATTCCAGTCGAAAAAATTTGAAATCTGATGTGGGAAAACTGGGCGTTCTTATAAATTCAAGTAAAATTCTCAAAGGAATTTGATAAAGAGAGGCGCGTCCTATAGCCCTTTTTGCGAAACATTTTTATTGAATATGGTTAGAAAAGCAGAGAATGGAGTTCGACTAATTTGCGATGAACAATTCAAAAATGTCGAGCGTTGTTAATCGGTTAATCAGTAGCCTTTGTCATACAACTCCTCCTAAACCACCTCCGTCACCGCAGTCATTACTTGTTTGGGTATGTCATCTCGGTCAGTTCTTTGTTTTACACTTAAAAAAAATTTTTTTTATTTGACACTTTTTAAATGTGCATACTCTTCTATATATCTTTACAGAAAGCCAGTTTTTTCTCTTACGTAATATTAATTTAGCTTAGCTTCAAATTCTAAAATTATCTTCCATACATCTTACAAAAGTTTTTTTTCTAATATTTCTCAATATTTATTTAAAATTATGTTGAAAAAAATTTCAGTGAGCCACTTTTTTCGTTATAAGAGATTTCTAAAATGTTCTAGAATGTGAAAAATTATTGCGATAGAGGAATCCCATAAAAAAAGATAAATGGTGTGAATATAGAGGGAAGCATAAGGAATCAGATTTATTAACAAAAGGAAATTTCAAATTTACCAAAAAAGAGACAATGGCCGTATTGGCGTTATATTGATAAAATGATTTTCCTGCAAAGGTATACTTTCTAGAAAGTAACCGAATTTCTATGCGAGAAGTTAAGCGTGGGAATGGCTCCTTTAGAGGTGCAAAATATTTTAAAAATATTAATTACATGATCATATAATTTTCTTTAAATTATTTTAACTCCATTTTTCAGTAGCGAAAATTCCAAATATAGATTTTGCTGAAATTTTGCAGGAAATTTATAAAAAATCATCTTTTTCAAATTCCAACGTTTCCAACATTTACAATTTCAGGAAGGATTTATTTTATACGGAAAATGTAGATCATATTATAGATCATAAATTAAGTAAGTAATTCATCAATTAATTATTATACGTTAACATAATTAAAAGCATTTCTCAAAATATTACAACAAATAATAAATAATGAAACTTACAAAGTACCACAAAGTACCACTGTTATTCCTTTCAACATCTTTCAACATCTTGATTCCTTTTTTTCTTTCCTTTTCAACATCATTATATTCCTTTTATAATCCTTTTTTCATTATATTCCTTTCAACATCTTGATTATAGTATGGTTTAATACTTCATTGTTCATAGTTTATTTTTATAGTCGACAATTTTTCCTTTTCTTTTCGAAATTCACAAGAGTATTTAAAACGTTTTAAATTTCATTGGCAAATTTTTAAAGAATTTTTTTAATGTTTTACGTTTTAATTTTTTTCTAATTTAAGATTTAAAAAATGCAGAAAATAGGCAAATGAATGATGATAATTAGTGCCTCGAGAATTTTTTATATATATAATTAATTAATTATATTAATTATATAATTATATTATATATATATATATATATATATTAAATATATAATTATATATATAATTTTTTATATAATTTTTTATTCTTTTTCCACAATTTTCAACCATTGTTTGTGTTTTTTTATATTGACGAGAAATAAAAAAATTTTTATTTTAAAAGTTCGAAAATTAATTTTTTATATTTATTTTCCACAATTTTAGCTTGACTTCGCTTTTTTAACCTAAGAAAACACTTTTTTTTGCATATTTCGATTTTGTTCGATTTTGCAGTTTTTGCTCAAATTTATACTGAATTGATTATTTCTGTTCAGCTATGTGCATCCACACTGTTCTAAGCATCTCAAAGATCATATCAAATATCCCATATTTTAATCCAGAAATCTAATTTTCTAATGATCCATGATCCATATAATCTTGATGTAAATTTTTTAAAAAACTAATTCTTTAAAAACCTTCGGTGACTTTTCTTAAAACGCTTGGTGCATCAGTGGCTCAATGACAAGGTAATTGCCATCGAAAATCGGGGCTTGGATTCGAATCTGCTGATGCACCACTCTTTAAGTCGAGCTGGAGAAAAACAAAGGAGAATAGAGTGGCTCATTGGGTTGTTGCTGAACACGGATGCTTCTACTTTCGGTAGGAGTAAACTTGTTAAAAAATCCGGATTATGCTGGCGACTCACCTAGTCCTATCGTAAAGAAATTCCTTGGCAAATTTCTGGCGAAGCGAGACTAAGTAATGGTGAGCGCTCTTTTAGAATGGTTAAATTAACTTTTTGTAGAAGAATGGTTATAATTTAGATTATCAGTTTTGTTTTGCTGTTGTCACGAACACGAAAAAACATACTGGTGAAAAATCCGATCAGCAGTAGTGGCAGTCCATTTTTATCTCATTTGATTTGATAGCAAATGTGGTAGCAATCCAGTCTACCTATTAGCTAAATTAATATTTTAAAAATACAGTTATATTTTCCAATACAGTTATGTTTTCATCCATTATATCGTGGAAATACCGACTGCGTAATAGCTTTACATCCATATGTCTAAGTTTTATGATCAATTTTATAAAGGCTTTTCCACTTTTATTGCAGAAACATTTAAAAATTTATCGAAATTTTTTATAGCATCGTCACGATCATCAAATTCTTCAGCAAATTCATGCGCTCAAGGATTAATGTTTAATGATGAACCAATTACTCTTTTTCGACTTGAACTCGAGCGACTTCAATACATTATTCATTTTCCGGAAGAAGTTGCTTTTCAGGTTGAAATATTTTAAATATTTAATTAAATTGAAGGGCGGCATGTTTTTGTCCCAAAAAAAGTAATTTTAGTTCTTCCTTCTTTGAATATCCAGTAAAATTCAATAATTTTCTTCGATAAATGGAAATATGATATACGTAAGTAAAGGCGAAGAAAATGAATGTATCGACGACGACTGTTTAAATTTTTATTCGATCATCTGTAAAATATCGAATTGATAGTTGATAGTGGCTAACATTCACCATTTCTGGTTAGGCTTTTCTGGTTGTTAGCATTATTAGAAATTTTTGTTAAGGAATCATTTAAGGAATCATTCAATAAATATACAAGTGCATTGCATTATCTTTCAGAAAATAAGTGGTTATTGTTCCCTATTTCAACTTAGATTAGCCATGCTGGTTGTTATTCGGAAATTTTTGCCAGGGACTCACTTAGCGATAAAAATAAATATAGGTCGCTACCACCACCTAGATTTTTTAATAACTGTTTACTGTCGAAAGAAGAATGCAAAATTATGATAGTAAATTGAATTTTTTCTTTCATTTTTTTGTTTATAATTTTTGTCATCATTTTAAACAGTTTTCTGCCAGAAAAGAAATTTAATTGCATCAAATTTAACGAGATTCATGAGAAGCAAAAAATTTTGGAAAAAATTGCTAACACAATTTGTACTGAAAATATGTCTTTAAATTAGTATGATTTTGAAAGAGAAAAAAACAAATTCGAATTATCAAATTTAGCTTTCGATAATTGAATATCAGTTATTTTATTCGATACAACCAATGGATTATGTGCGATACGTTAGTTGTGATCTTACATCAGTACCGGTTATCGATAATCCAAGTCCGTTAAAAAATCTCGTTAAACGGTTATCTGAGGTTCATCTATCCATTTTTCTCCTTTTAATTTGAATTCATACCAGAAATTCTTAAGTTAAATTGAAAAAATGACGAAATGAATATTTTGACATCTTTACCGATAAAGTGAAAGAATTTATATCCACGATGTTCGATGCTTTTATTGTTGTAGCCAGTAATTGTTTTATATAATTATCCTTGAGTTCACCAGTTATTATAATCACATCTTAATAGCAAGATTTCTTAAGGTTAGCTCATGGATAACTCATATCATCATAAGTATGCCGACACATGATGATCGTAAAATGGCATTATCCTCAATTATGCGGATGATCCATACTTGTTGGAACATTGGTGATTTTTCGACTTAAATTTGAATGATAAAATTTTCTGAAATTTTTAATAAAGATGCATTAATTGGAATAAATTGTTTAAAAACAAACGTGAGGGATTGAGCAAAACCTCTGTTTTTTATTTTTGATGCTGTTTCTTTTGATTTTAATTTAAAGATGAGTATTAAATTCCTAGAGGAGTTTACTATAAAAGAAATTAAAACGTGAAAGTAATTCGAGCGTCGACTGCCTTTATTAATTATTAAATTGCTTTCATTGCTTTCTTTCTATTTAATTCGATAGATGACCTAATTTATCAATTATTTTATTTTTTTCATAGGCAATTTCAATGGTACTATTGAAATACTGATGGGGCTTAAAAATGAAAAACTTCGACCATTTTGGCTTTCTGTTCAACATGAAGATAAACAAAAATTTGAGCAAGTTAGTCGCTTCATTCGAATTATTTTCTGTAAAATGCTAAATAAATGCTCACATTTACCAGAATCTACCCATACAAACATTTCTTTAAAAAATTGGGATCCATTTAGCAAATCTTTATTATTCCTTAATTTTCCTAGAGAAATTGATGAATTTTTCGCTATCAATTTCATAATCGATTTTATTCATTTTTTTGCAAACAGTATTAGATTTATACTTTGCTGACAATGGCCTTATTTTCCGAGCTTAGTAATTTTTTATCGCAGCTAATAATTAGTGCATAATATCTAATACAAAACAATATTATTATAATTCAGTTGTGCGAAATTCTATTACCAAGTAATCAACCGACGCTATCGAAAACTTATTTGGAAGCAATTCAACGTGCCTTACGTATGCCACAATGTCGGCTGATTCCATTTTTCGGAATTTTCCTTCGAGATCTTTATGCTATTGTTAATGATGTACCAAATGTGGTTGTGATTGGTCATCAAGATGAAGATCAGAAATTAGAAGTTTGTCTTATAGAGCTGTGAAACTAATCAAGTTAAATTTCGAGCATCGTCGGTTCATTTCTATTAGAGAAAACCTGACATTAAAAGTGAATTTTTGTTGCTGGGATTCGATATTAAGACTGTTTGCCACTATAGCCAGAGAAACCGGTTATATAAACCTTTGAGACTATTTTAAAAAAAGCATCCTGAATTTAATAGAGGAAATTTAATACATTTCATTCTTAATCAAATGATACGTTATAAATGATACGTTATAAGAATATTCATGTGGTAATGAAATTTTGAGCTTTATTTAATTATTTATTAAATAGAGTATTTCTTAATAGTACATCATTATTTCAAAAAAATCAAAAATCCACTTGAGTCAAGTTATTCTTGAATTTAGTTCACTTATGATTCAAATGGAGAGGATCATTTTTCATCGAAAATTGGCGTTGGTGGCCTGCTCAATGTCGACAAAATTAATCTTATTGCTGTTGTGCTTGATAATCTTGAACTATTTCATCGCCATAATCAAATTCTTTCAAAATATATCGATGAGCAAAATTGTTCGCCAAATGCATCAAAAGACCAGAAAGAAATTAAAGTTAGTAATTTAGGATAATTAGATTCTGAAATTTGGAATCTGATATTCTCTTTTTTGCCGCTATCGAATATTATAGGGAATATGTTTATATTATTCATGTACTAATTAGCCATTATTCTTATTACTTAAAGGAAAAATATTTCGAATGATAATAAAATACAGTGAGTTATTCCAGGGTTACGAACCAGTTCAGCCGATATTCGATGCAACTCGAGGAGTAACTCTTATTCCTTTGACTACAATGAATTTTGATCTGGATACTATCCAAAGATTGCACCATGGAACTACTGTTATTCGTTACGATCCTGATTCAGGTCGCAGTGTAATTTGCCTGCTAAGACTGGATTCCAGTTGCAGTTTTATATCATGGTATAAAGTTGGATACATAAGTAACAATAAAGAAGGAAAAGAGAAGGTCTCATATCATTAAATTTTTTTCCTAAAAAAAATAAGTTTCGTTTATAAATTGACTTTATTATTTTGTTATACAAATTCCTGCTGAATGAATATAAGAAAAGTTCGATAAAGTTAATGCACTTGATAATTGCTGAACGCTCATAGAAGTATTATTTAAAATTTTTAAAATTCAGGAAGCGCTTGCAAATGCGAAAACGACAATATCTACGGTTCCCAAGACACAAAATACCGAAAATATACATTCATCGACGGCTGCTGTTGCATCACTAGGATTAGTCTCTTTGGGGTTGGATGAAGGCTTTCTTAATCTATCTTATGTCCACTCTTTGGAAACTGTCGATTCTTATGATCTCGATATTGAAGTAACGTTATTAAATGAAAAATTACATACAACTACATTTTGATAATTCATTTCTGTTTATTTTGGATATTTTTTTTATGCTGATGTATTTAATTATATCAAAATATTGATTAAGTCCACTAGATACCTATAAAAAGTAAATGGATACAGAAGGAAAATAAATTGTTTGGCATTTTTCAGCAATTAAGGAATATATAATTTGTGGCTGGGTTATTCGCATCAAATCCTTTTTTCCTTGTCAAGGATCTAAAATATTTTAACTATGAATTTTAAAGGCAATCTATCGTCGACACAGCAGTGAAGAAATGACGGTTCCTGTGCGGTGCTGGAATATTAGTTTCGGATCTCTTATATCTGATATTGATTTTATATATTTTTTGGCTCCACAACAAATTGCGAATCATTGGATAAAAGGACTGACAGATGTACAGTTGAATTTTATATAAATTTATTTAGATGGGATTTATGCTAAAAAATCTTTTAGACAAATCCAGCAAAATATAGGAATGATGATGAATTTAAATTTAGGTTATGTATAAAAAAGTTTAAAATTTCTTTTAGTATCAGGCCAATGACGAAGGGTTTTGTTTGCAATTTATTTAATCCTGTATTTTTATTGTGAAAAGTTGTTCATTTATTCAAATCCTTTTATATTAGATTGTGAAACAATTACAAAAGGAACATAAGAGACCTGACAGAAGAGTTTTATGGTTGAAAAAACTCTATCTACAGTTATGTAATCGCTGTAAATATGGTAAAAAAACCAATGAAGACATCAATAGATTCTGTCCTCGTCCAATTGATGCTTTACAAGCGTTCGGAGGCCGAGTTGAACGATGGAAAGGTTTTCCATTATTAATTTACTTAAAATCTGTCGGCAACTGGCGATAAATATTTGTTGGCTCCAAATAATCATCTAGTATTTCGGTATTAATAAAAACTTAAGGTGGAATTTTTTTCCTCATGCGAGGTTTACTTTATTTTAATATGTTAAAACATGAAAAAATTTTTTATTTTTTTATCGCCCTTTGGGTGGTTATTGTCAACCTCGGATCCTCTACGAGAGATTTGGGATTCTGCGCAATATCTTAGCTATTTCTAATAGTGCGCGTGCGCTCTTCTAGACAGAGGTGTTGTTCCTGGAATATGCTGAGGCCACTTTTTAGTTTAGTTTCAAGTGCTGCAATTATTATTGGGATTCCTTTGGTCTTCACTTCTGCATCTTCCTCTTTCCAGCTCTTGGTATTTATCTAAGTTCTCATATTCCTTCTTCCTGACGTGTCACTTGGTATTGCTATATCTATCACCAGTGCTAATTTCTGATTCCGGTCTATTACCACGATTTTTGGTTGACTGGCCAGTATTTGTCTGTTTGAATGGAGAAGTGCTACAAAATCTTCGTCTTACTATTCTCTAACGAAATAATTGTTATAAATAATTATTTTAATTTAAATCATTTATAAATAATTACTACTTGATTAATTATTGATTTTAATGTTAATTTAATGTAATGTCAATCTACAATTATTTTCTGATTAATGAGGAATCTCTCATGATATGATTATGAGGAATCTCCCATTTAATTTTGGCAGTGTCTATACCATATATCGATATTCCTGTAGATGATACCAGCTACTTTGTTATGCCTCTCAATATTGTTCCTGCCACTGTGTTCTGGACTGTTTCTGGAGTGTTTTTTGCACAATTTGCATTTATAGTTCTATCTACTATGGTAGATCCTTATTTCGATGGATATACTCTTATTGATGTGGTGCTATATAATCAGCGCCTCAATATTGCCTTTTAGTCTGATTTTCTCTATTTGTAGGATTTCCCAATGTCAGCTACCTCAGTTATCTGCCAATGGTGCAATCTATGGACGGTCTTGCTTGTCAATGGTATTTCCTCTATTTGATCGTTTTCCAATGTCTGGATATGTTTTAGATAGTCCTTAGTTCATTCTTTGGTGTCATTTTGCTGATGTATTTCTAAATGCTTCGAGTTTCGTTCAAGACAGTGGCTTTCACACCTACCTTTTTTCCAGCGAGTGCATAGCCTTTGGATGGAGGGTATTATGAGGATTTCCCTGGTCCTTACGCCAGCAATCTCCATGTCTTCTTTTGTCCATCTTACTGCCAGCTGCATACCTGATGACTGGCAAGACGTATATCTGTGGCACTATGGCATAGATTTTGTTCATTGAGCAGGCTCTTCAAGATTTGTCTTATCCTTTAATAATCTTAGATAGATCTCCTTCCTTGCCTGCTCATCGTGGTTGCCATACCGTGGGATGCCAAGGTACTTATAGCTAGCCTGTATGTCCAGTATATGTCCTGATGACAGGTCTACCCCATTAGTCATTACTATTTTTCCTCTCTTTACTACTTATGCAAGCTGTTTCGAGTTGATTCCAAGCGTCGTTTTCCATAGTCCCATTGAGTTCTCAAGACTTTATATAGAGACAGATCCATGTGTGGGACATTGAGTCATTGGTTTTCCTACAGTTAATCCAAGTTGTATACAGAGTCTAGTGGGATTTTGAGTCTAGAGACTGCTTTATCTATGAGCAGCTAGTGCTTAGAGCCTCTGGTGTTATTCCCAGTGCCTTTTTGAATTTTATTGGTTCATATGGTCATGATGGCTATGATGTCTGACAGGATTTTCCACATCATTAGATGGTGATATTTTCTTTTGAAGGTCTTTTATGATCAATGTTGTCCTCCCTTTTGTTAAACCAGTCGAGGTGAGAGCTTGCCACAAGTAGCATCTGTATCGTTCGGCAGAAATATATTATATATATATATATATATGTGAAAAAATAGATCTATATAGTCATTATACATATATATATATATATATATGTATATGGGATAGAATGGCTCAGTGGGTTGTTGCTCAATTGGGAGCGCCGATGTTGAAGTTCTAAACCGCGCTGTAGTAAACTTGTGTAAAAATGCGGGTAATGCTGGCGACTCATTTGTATTTCTATCACCAAGGCACTCCCTGGCATATTGCCCAATTGCAACAAGCCATTGGAGCCAGTTTAACTAGAAATGGTGAGGGACTGTTTAAAAAAATATATATTTATGAATGAAGGCAGTCCCAGTGGTAATAGGAATACTGACGGATTCTTAGGCTAGAAAAGTGGATGTAATATCTTCCAGGAAGATATCATAGACGCTCTTGTCCACAAGTGCGCGTACTTCTAAGAGCAGTCACAAAATAGCTAGGAACATATAGCGCAAAATCTCAAGCTTCAGAATGGAGAACCAAAGATTGAGGATGACCATACCAGAGAATGAGAAAAGGATTTTTTAAAATTTTGCTATTTATTTTATATATACATTCATATATCAGGTTTAAATCAAGCAATAACTTCAAGCTCAAAACAAACAAATTTATCACCAGGAGATTCAAGTGGTGGTAGGAGTAGATTGAAAAAAATGACTATAGCTGTATCTAAAAGAGTACGTGGAACTAGTCACAACACTAGTCGCTCACAAAGTCCTCGACCTTTCTCACTATTCTCACGAACAACAAAGGTAACTAAGGCAGCTCAATTTCATAAAAAATTAACAAATTTCAAAATTCAAATTTCAAAATTCAAATTTCAAATTTTTTTAAACAATATTGACAAGCTTTAAGCAATTCCTCTAGATGCGTCATCCATCATTAACAAGTCACCTATCTTGTGAAAGCGCTGGTTCATCTAAACAAGGGACTGGAGCATTCTCATTAAAACCATATGGAGAACGAACGACTTTAAGTGAAGATTTCGATTCAATGTTTACTCGATCTCGTACACCTACATCAAGTTCATATAGTGGCCCATCAATTTGTGGTAAATCTATGAAATCTTGGAGGTAATTTTATTTTTCAACATAAAAATTATTATAAAAGTGCATAAAGAGTTACAAAATTAAGCAGTCAAAAATTGGTCATTCTAAATGTTTTTATTAATATTATTCATTTTGCTGTATCCATTTTAAGAACGAAAAATTTTCTGCGCGCTTCCGATTTCATTAATTTAAAGGTCAAAAGGTGAAGAAATATCGAACTCCGGTTCAACTAGTAGTAATAGTCAGATTCCACCAACGATTTGTTCTGGTAAGGAAATTCAAGAGAAACCACTAACTCTTCTGGAATTTGCAGAATTGTACAGGCTTTTTAGTACGAGAATGAGGAAGGACTTGAAGTAAGCCATTTGCAGCGAATATTAATCATTACTAGTTGTTTTCATAGATGCAAAATTTTTATTCCCCATTCTTCAACTGCATGTTTCTTTGCTTTTTCAGTTTTTGCCCAGTTTTCATCATAACAAAAATTTCAAATGTAATATAATTTGTACCAAATAATTTGCTTATGATTCTAAAAATTCAATGTAGGGATGTGTTTAATGAATGTGTTAATATGTTTTCAAACACTGATGAAGCCGTAAAATATAATTTTGGCGATGAACATTCTTCTCGTAATTTGGAAATAAGTAATCGGTTAAATGATTTGGAACTATTACCGAACGGTAATTAATAAATTTTTTCTTTATTCCTTTTTTCTTTATTATCACATCTTGAATCTAATTGATATGGGAAATACTGTCGGCAAATTTTGCTATTATAAATGAACAAGGACTAACTTTATTAATACTTCCCAAACTTTGCGGAAACTATAAATTAACTGGCAGTTATCTTATCATTTCTGTTTATGCACTAATTATTTCCCATAGAATCAGACGTTTTCACTATCAGAGATAGAGGAGCAAAGGTTAAACTATGATGGTTGATAATCTAAGCGATAAACTATAATAGCTATTCTCTCTTAAAAATGCGAACGGATAAAAATTGCATAATTCTTGGCTAAGTAGGCTGTAATCAGTCAAATAAATTATTTTTCGAAATTACTCACTGCGCTGAATTCATTCACTCATGATCCGAATTATAATTACTGTTGAACCTTAAGTTTCTTCAAGAAATCCTTATACAAGATATAAGGAAAGGAAGTAGTAATTCCAAAATATTTTAAAGAAATAAGAGAGCAAGAAAGGAAAACTTAATTTTAACCTTAATTTTAATTAATCTTTTGGGTCAATTTTATATGAATTTACTTTGAAAATGAAATATTATTGGATTCAACTAAAATACGAAGAAATGTATGTATCTCATAAATAATGAATAATTTGATATAATTTAATTTAATTTATTTAATTTAAGATATTCTAACTCGAAATAATTCATCGCAAAAATATCAAATTAGCGAGAAACAACAGAAAATATATAATGCATTAGCTATTGCTAGCATTAACAGGTGATTTTTCTTTTATTTATATTTTTAAGTGCTTGTAAATATTCATAATTTTACAAACATGCAAAAATAAAAAAATAAATGTTAATCAGTGCGCTAATTGCTTTAATCGATACCCCGACAAAAATAAGGTCGCTGCCACAAACTAAGAAATCTTAGCCGATGCTGTGGAAAATTTTTGGTATCATACAAAAGTTTAATACTCCAGAAAATTTTCTCAGACTAAGGCTTTCAAGATATACAATTACTCTGCTAATACTCTTTTGCGATGATTCGTTGTTAATGACATCTCGAACTCTCCAGACTTCCTTAAGCGTAGCCCTTTAACATCTCCATTATGATCGCTTTCTCTAAGCTCTCAGTTACAAATTATAAAATCGCAAAAGGTATGGTGGCAGTGGTTGAAAATTTAAAGAAATTATAGGGAACAGGAATAAGAAAAAGGACTGCGACAGAATAATTGTGGTTTTTAAAGAAGCGTTAATGGATATTAATTTAAAGAATATAACGAATTTTGAAAAGAATGTACCCTGAAAACTCTGCAAATCCATAGGATTCAATATGATTAATAAAAGTTTTATATACATTCATAAATATACAAATGTTGCAGTACTGCTGTGATGGATACTTCGCGTAGTGCCTTTCTAACTCCATCAATGATAAAGGAATTTTTGGCTGTTCATCAAATGGAATTTATCGATAAAGACTATGCTATAAAAATTATTCAGGTTCGTTTATTTTGTTATTACTATATTCAGAAGAAGTAAAAAATATTTTTGCTCTACTTTTGCTCTCGATAGAAATTTTCAAAAATTCTCTCATTATGCAACAATAAATAATAATAATACATTTTGTGATGACCACATTGAACGGTGCGTTGTAACTGATCAAATTGTAAGTTTTGAAAATAAAGGCATTATAGGAGCACGAACCTGACTCGACTTTCCGTGGCAAGTACCAGTTATCTTTTGAAGGATTCGTCCGTTATTTAAATGACCCAGTGAATTTCGCATTCGTGCCAGAGGAAATAAAACCGGACAACAGTTCTCTTCATTATCCTCTCAGTTATTATTATATTTGTTCAAGCCATAATACGTATTTAACAGGACATCAGTTAAAGGGCGAGTCTTCAGCTGAAATGTATCGTCAGGTATATATATATATATATATATTTCCAAAATATGTTACCTTTCCCTTCTTTTTTTGTCAGTTAATCCTGTTACTACTTATAAAATTATAAAAAAATATTTTGTAAGGAGGACAAACATTCTAGGTATTATTGACCGGTTGTCGATGTGTGGAACTTGATTGCTGGGATGGTGATGACGGATTGCCACAAATATTTCATGGACACACATTCACTTCAAAAATCAGTTTCCGTCAGGTGATCGAAGTCATAAAAAAAAGCGCATTTGTTGCAAGTAGCATGCCCGTTATCCTTTCAATTGAAAATCATTGCTCACTGCAGCAACAAGCCAGAATGGCCCAAATGTTTAAGGTAAAAAAATTGTTTATGATTTAGTTAGTTGCTTGCTTGCTTTTTAAACAAATTGCTATAATTTTTCATTTTTCAGAATCATCTTGGTGAGAAATTGGTAACGAATTTCCTTTTTGAAGTTGACTATAGCGATCGACCTCGATTACCATCACCTTGGCAGTTACAAAACAGGATTCTTATTAAAAACAAGAAGATGGTTTCAGAACCGAGCTTTGGGCTGTCACTTGACAAGAATATTTTTCATGATAATGAACATTATTTAAAGTATTGATTAAGTATTATCATAAGTATTATTAAGTATTATATTATTATTATCATGAAGCGTAATACGATGAAATATTTTCTCTGGCTGACAGAGAATTATTTTCCAAAGTTTTCCCCAATTAAACGATAAATTTTTTATCTTTTGCGAGGTGGAATGATAAAATTATTAAAAGTTTAACAAATAATTTGAAGATCATTTCAAATAAGGAATGTATTATAGGAATGCATAATAATGTATTATTTGAATCAATTTTAGTGATGAGGGCGAAGATGATGATCTGGATGAGTTTCTAGATGAAGATGGTCCAGATGATATTGACTGTGATGGTAAATTATTTCCTTATTTCAAACTTTTCTTGTCTTATAAAGTTATATTAAGCTTATCATAATTGAATTAGTAGGACCTCTCACTTTTCATTAACATACCAGATTCGATACTATTTATTTCTTTGCATGTCTTTTCTGCATTAAGAAATCTTAATCTTACCTTTATTATATTGTAACAAATGATGAAAAGGGCAAGAGAGAGGCTGTCTTGGTTTCAAAGAAAATATTTTCAACCTTAGTCCAACTTTTAGAAAAATGTGATACTGACAGTGTCAAGCTGAATGATCGCTCGTTAAAAACAACGTTAAGTTTTCGAGATATTATTTTCGAAAGCAGCGATATACAGAAAAATAATCCCACTCAAGCGGTGAGTCCAATTCAGCAGATTTTAAATATTTAATTTTTAAATATTTAATTATTAAAGGAACAGATGGCGACAGTAATTTCCTAATTTATGAATTATGAATTTATTTCCTATATATTTATAGCTATGAAGCGATTTATATGAAATGAAGTGAAATGAAAATTTAAACATGCCATTAGAAAAAATTTATTTTGTGTACTTTTTAGTCAGTTACTATGCCATATGGCTCGAAAAATGACGATGATTCAACTCCTGATCGAGCTAGTGGAGCAACTGCAAAACTCGTTGCAAGAAAGCAAGTAGCTGGGCCACTGGTCGCCCCTGAATTGTCTGATCTTGTCAACTATTTGCAATCCATTAAATTTAAGGTCTGAAAAATATTTTGCATATTCTATCTTCTCGGGCCTTTATTGTTGTTGTTATTTATATTAGTCATTATTTTATGTTATTACATCATTTATTTATTTATTACTGACTGATTTAGCTGCAAAATTTGCAGGGCTTTCCTCAATCCTTAAGTGGACCATTCAGACGATCACATATGGATGATCCTTATTCTGGTCCAAAGATTCGCTCAAGTTCCAATCTTCTTATAATGGGTACACCACCACGAAGATTACGTAATGCAACTTTAATCCGACATGATGCCTCATCACGTACTGCAGATGGCGGTGTGAATGTGTTGACTTCTCTTCGACCTAAAAGCAATGCATCATGTTACCAAGTTGTTTCATTAAATGAAGCAGCTGCCAGAAAGTTATGCAGGTATCGAAATTTTTAGAAGTACCATTTCAACGAATACTAATTTAAGATTCCTAGTTAGATATCTTTTGGAATTCTATCCAGCAGAAATTTGGTGAATTTATGTGGAGTAAAATTACTGGATTTTTTCGTCATAAATATTCATTATTTGAGGAAACACGCGCTAAAATGTATTGCTTATACTCGCAGTCATATAATGCGAACATATCCTGGAGGTATTCGAATCGATTCATCGAATTTCAATCCCATTCAGTACTGGGCATTTGGTCTTCAAATGATAGCTCTTAATTTTCAAACACCCGATGTCTCCATGGCAATAAATACGGCAATGTTTGAATCATCAGGAAATTGTGGTTACGCATTGAAGCCTCGGTTATTTTGGGATGACACTCATCCTCTCTACAGAAAATATAATCCAATATCGAAGGATTTCGCTTCACTTTCAGCTTTAATTTTAACTTTGCAGGTTGGTTCTGATTTAATCTATTTTGCTAACTCTTAGGATAGAATCTCTCTTTCATGAGAGGCTTATTTGAGAATGGAGCTAGGCTTCAAGATGGCTTTCACTTTTAACCAGTCAGTTTACTCCATAGAAAAAGAATCGAAGCTACTATGATTTCTAGAATCAGGTTCATTGGTGGCACGGTGGTATGATGATTGCCACCCAAATTCGAAAATGGCTCATGAATCCGACCGATGCACTACACTTCATCGGGCTACAATGTAGCCCAAAGCAATATGAGATAGAGTGGTTCAGTGGCTTGTTGCTCAGTTTAGAACGCAAAGGTTCCATGTTCCATGTCTGACATGAGTAAACCCGGATGACTCACTTGTATTTCTATCACCAAAGTAACTCCCTGGCAAAATTTGCTTTGTGCGACACTTAATAACACTTAAGCGAACATAATCTGCAATCATAGGCATTATCAGAAAAAAAATGTGGAACCACTTAACCATCCCACTCCTTCTAAAATTTACTTATATCATTTTTGAACAGCAGTTAATCGATTCAATCAATTTTATAGCATATTTTAGGTGATCTCAGGCCAACATGTTTGTTTTAATCAGCATAATATTTCTACTCATGTCGAAGTAGAAATTTTTGGCATATCAGTGGACTGTGCAAAAGAAAAAAGCAAAGTGGCCAATCGAAATTCCGTTAATCCGATCTGGAATTTTTTATGTACATTCAAAATCAAATTTGTAGATTTAGCATTTTTAAAGATCGCCATTTGTGACAGCGCTAATGGAAGGTACTTTTTTTAGAATTTTGTGTCCTTATCTATAAGAGATCTACGGTTTCAGCATTTGCTCAATACCTTTCCAGATGCGTATCTCAACGAGTAGTTCCAGTTCGTCATTTACGACCAGGTTACCGACATCTGCCTCTTAGAAACAGTGTTAACCTTCAAGTGGATAATGCTACGATATTTATACATTCTCGATTTGAACAGGAAGAACATGTTTATTTATATGACGACGATGAAACTACGATGTATAATATAGATCAACAATTAGCATATCAAACTATAAAAGTTCGCAGAATATTTGGTCTTTTATTTCTTTATTTCTTTAATCTCGATTTTAGAACATATATTTCGATGCCATGATGTCCGTTGTCTTTGAACCTTTGTCCCTCAAAAATTTATTCCAGAAGTACATATTTTTACGTACTTCTTTCTATATTTGCTCAGTGCTGTATCGTTATCCTCTAATGATTAAATCCAGTTTTTTGCAAACTTTTTTTTTAAAGGATGATCAAATAAAGCCAGTGCCAATGTTAAAACGTCAGGTCTTTGTTCTACGGGTATTAGGGCTGCTCGCTGATGATGGTGCTGTTATTGTTCATGCCGAATTGAATACTACTGTAAGAAGCGTTATACAAATGGTACGCCTTTTCAAATTTATTAAAATTTTTAAAATTTTATTAAAAGGAATTATGGCCTGCGAGGCAAATGATAAATTTTAGACGACAATTAATGACAATGACAAATATCATTCTTTATATTTCAACTATTTATATAATGTTTTACGATTGTTTAGGCATTAGTTAATGCGGGTAAAAGCTCAGATAATGCAGATGATTACCTGTTGATTGAAGAAAGTGCTCCAAGATCTTTACTGTCAAGTGCAGATGATGGTGAAAGTATTTTTGATGCATTTGGTAGTCGAATTTTGCCATACAATGAATTTATTATGGATGCTGTTGCTTGCTGGGATGGTTCAACGAAACGTTTTATTGTAAAAAGAAAAGGAAACGTGAGTTGCTCCATTTTCCATTCATTTAAGGAAATTTATTTTGATTATAAAATAAAGTACATACATTTTCAGGATCCTGGCAGCAGGGCATGGATTACTTCCATAATTAAAAGTACAGCAGGATCTGCAAGTCCATCATCTTCAACTTATGAACGGAAATCTGATAACGCACGCTACAAGAATCTGCAAGGAACATCTTCATCACATGGACGCTTAATGTCCGTCGATTCACAACGTCTTGTAGAGATGGTTACCATTTCAGGTATCTTGGCATCACTATTGATTCTTTATCATAAGTTTCGTTCTCATTCTTTTATACAGCATTTGTTTTATCTTTATCAAATGATAAAAAATTTAAATTTAAACAAACGTCTAGTGGATTTATGTTTCAATGGCATATGTTGTGTTTGTTTCATTGGTTGATATATGTTGATTTGGTTTCAGCATAATTATATGGTATATTTCTTGTACGTGTTGTGTCCCTAAGGGATATTCAGACAAAACCAATACTTCCGCGATCCATCCATTAATACTTTTTAACATTATCATAATATATGTTAAGGAAATATATAAAAATAAAAACCTCGACAAAGAATTATGTTTTCAGATAACCAGTCGCATCAACATGCTCGTTCCATTGGAGATACATTTCTTGTATGTGTTCATAATGTATGTGATAATCAACCGTACGTCATTTTGCGTGCAAATATATCGAGTACGGCAAACGACATTATAAGAAAGGTATAATCACCGTGCTATTAATAGTAGGATCGTGGTAGTCGAATTGTTACTGTTCATATCAACGTCTCGATCTCGATTATATCTCTACCAAAAGTAAACCTGTGACAAAAAAGTCCAGTCCAGGCAGTGCTGAAGATTCATCTCCTTAACTTCCTGCAAAAATTCCTTTCTCTTATCCAGCCAATTAAGTATAACCATAAATAGTGAATAATGATCGCCACCCACTTACTCATTTTTGAAATTTGAAATTCTGGCATATTTGAATCACAGAATAGAACAGCATAACTATTAATCTATAAATTTAAAGGTATTTATAAAATCGCATTGTGTGGAAGCTAATGAAGCTGATTATGTCCTGGTTGAAGAAACTGCTGATAATGATGGATTTGATCAACAATTTCATCAAGACACAGCCGATTCTATTAAATTTGCTCGCAAAAAAACACCGCGTAAGTCCTCGTCCCTTTCCATCTCTTTCTTTTCAAAACAGTAATCCCAAAATTATGAAGACTACTATTTTTGATATTCCAGAAACCTCAAAATCGATTCCAAGTAAGATCAATATAAAAGCTCGAGTATTGCAATCAGATGAGAATGTCTGGAAAGTGCAAAATGGTTGGGTGGCTGCAGGACGTTTTGTTCTGGAAAATCGCAAGGAAACTGTTCATTCGGCGCTAGAAAAAATTCGCAATTTCCTTGAAGCGCTCGAAAATGCTCGAGCTTTCATTGGCGATCCTGAACAAACTTTCAAAAAATTCATATAATTATTATTTTATTTATAATCTTTTTCTATGGCCAGTCGATGATCTCGTTTCTCGCTTGCAATCATTTATAGTGATTTTTTCGGGTACCACCATTGTCTTTCATGAGTTCCATTTATATATTATTGCTCATAAATCAAAATGTTTATATGATATGTTGATTTTCTATAGATGAAATGATTATCAATGATAATAAAATCTGTTGTATTTTTAAACATTTTGATCTTCCATACTTCCATACTTCTTTCCAGACAACGAATTAAGTATAGCTTTATGTAACATAAGAATTGTATGGAAAAGGGTTTGGTATTTTTTTCTAGATTTGTAAGATTTACTCCAAATAAAATAAAAAAAGCAGCCGTAACAATTAGCAATTAATTTGTTTCGTACTCTTTCATTTATTAATTTTTTTAATGATCTCAGTGAAGAACAACAAAAACAATAATAACTTACTAATAACTTACTAAACTTACTAAATAACTTACCAAGTAAGTTTACAAACAGATGACTTCAATGTTACATAAATTATTTTTATTTATTTCCAAAGCGACACTTTGTTTTTTTAAATTTCCTTTGAATATATATTGTTTTAATCAAATTAAAAATTTTTTCAAGAAAATTCAACTTGATAACTGGACTTATATCTATGGAAAATCAGAAAAGGATTGTACCAAAAATTTACTTAAGTATAAAAAAGTCTATAAAGTCTATAAAAAAATTCTTATTACATTCTTTCTAATTTATAGTGGAATATTTGTTAATTTATATTTAAAGTGAATTAAACAAAAAACCTTTTAAAATCTATTTATCTATATATCTATATATTAAGGAAATGTCGCGATATAATTCGGTAATTTGGAGGATTTTGATAGAGTCCAGTAATTCGAAGGTGTTACGTTAAAGGGCAGCAGTTTAGAAAATAGAAAATGAATTCAATATCGGAGACTGCTCTAACAGAATCCAGTGATTTAATAATTTATTCTTGAAAAAATAGAAAAAGATTTGAAAAAAAATGAATGAGCAACCATTAACAAAAAAATAGCAATAAAATTTGAAATTTCACCATTTTTTATCATCAGGGAATAGTCTAATAGCATTCATAATAACCGAGTATCATCGTCACCTTGCTCAATTACGCAATCATTTATTTTCATTCTCAGTGGGGAAGTCGTCTTCGGATCCTTAAATTTTCATATTACAAAATTGTCACCAAGCACAGATATATTACTATCTTAAAACAGTCAATAAACGATATACTTCCACTACCATTCGTTTTTTATAAATCTAAAAAAATGGAAAGCAGAATTTACAAATCGCCCTAAAAAAAATTACCGAAAAAAATAAAGTTATGGAAACGGATCAATCGGAGATATTAAAAATTTTTTTCTAAAATTTGGAGAAATTTGAAGCTTAATCCTTCCTTCTGTAAGAAATTAGTTGATGCGACTAATTATAAGACAGTGATGAAATCTCAGTATTCCTGGTTAGGCTAACTCTACTGGCTGTTAGCACAGTTAAAAAATTTTGCCAAGTAATATCTCATCTCATATCGGCGACAGAAATGTAGGTGGATTACCATCAGTACTCGAATCTTTTAAATGGTTTACTTCTACTGGAGGCAAGAGACGAATTCTTGTCTTTCTAAACTCGAAAATTAAATTCGGCTATCGTTCCCCTTCACAAATCCCCCTTCGGTTAATGCAAATCAGATTAAACTTACAATAATAACAAGCCGCATATTGCTAACATTTACTCGCAATTTAAATGCTGAATCAGCCTTCTCCTCATCCATAATAAAATGCGATAAATGCGAAACGATTTCATCGTGCACATCAATGTTTAAATCTTTGATGTTCACCTCAATTCAATCATAATTAATTTGTATTTCAATTAAAATTAGAAGTTTTGATAATAAATTTTGGAATTTACAATAAAATTAATTTGAACTGTAGAATGAGAATAGAAAATTCATTTAAGCTCATTCATGCAAATTCATGCAAAGATTAAAAATACCTGAAGGAAAGATTTTGAATTATCTGAAGGATGTTGAAATTCGAATCTTAATGATGGAGAACCCTCAAATGTAATTTTCTCGATTTTCTGTTCATCACATCTAGCATTTGTTGAATTTAATACATCACAATGCACTTCATTCAATTTCTCGCCAATTTCCAATCTAGGAAGTGGGAGAAAATACGCAAAGATTTGCAGATATGATAAAATAAAAGTAAGCATCACAGTTCTTTGAAATGTTGAATAAAATTTTACTTAGATGCACAACCCTCAATATATGATGTTCCTTTGAATGAAAATAATGCAATATTTAGGTCATCGAGTAATACTGTTAGCACATTGACCTGAAATCAGTAAATTAATAATAAAAAAAAGCACTTTCGATAGCTATCAAATAATCCATAAAATTCTCGAACTCCAAGATCATGTAGAATAAATAGAATCATACAGATCACACAGATCAATTTTTCCAGGAATTTCAAGAAAATTGCAAAGCTACCATTTTCTTGTCAAACATGCTTTTTTGTTAAATATGTTTTAGTACAACAAATGAGGGAAAAAGCCGAAATAAAACCTAAAATCTGTATGGAAACGATTATAAAATACCAATTAAAATGAAAATTAAATAAATAAATATCACTTATAGGATTTAGTTTGGGACAAAGCTGAATTCATTTGAGTATAAGAATGACGATTTAAAATACTAATACCAATTTAGTTAGTTCAAGCTTATAGCTACGATTGAATTTTATAGATTCATCAGCAAGTGCTTCTTCAGCGACTGCCACATCTATAATTCCATTTATAATTGAACAATTTTCCGTATTTTAAAAAATAAAAGTTTTAGCAAATCTAGGTTTTTTTAAAAATTACTTTTTATGAATCTATAACTTTCTTTAAAAGTTCACTATGATATAAGAATTCAACAATGATATAAGAAATTACTAATTTAGTCCATTTCGATCCTCAGTTAAATCTCTTGTATCGGAAACTTATCAGAAAGTGATTCTTTTATAACATCAATTTAATAAATTTGATCTAAGGGATAAAGAGAATATATAATATTAAATATATTGTAAATATATAATACGAATATCGGCAAAAAATGAAAAATAAATACCCATGTCATTAAAAACATCATCAGGTGCATTATAAGGAATAAACTGTTGTTCATCACCTGATACATTCGTAGCAATCGACATTGTATCATCGACTGTAATCACTGATTCTACAAGAAATTTCTATTAGAGAAGTGAATGCACAACATAAACACAGATTTATTAAGTATCTAAAGCTAAAAAAAATTGAATTTACCAGCTGCAGCATCAGATTCAGGAAACTGAGGAAAAATTTCGAATTCATTCCCAGATGTCGCCCCAATAACAGGTGTCGTCACCGACGTAGTTGCATAATTAATACCCTCTTCGTTGGTTTCATCAGCAATACCTAAAACTTCTGCAATTTTTAAAAAACTTGTCATAATTTTCAAAGCCATACTATAAAATGAGGGAAATGAGAAAAAAATAAGGCTCATTGAGTATCCAACTACTGCCAAATTATAAATGGCGAACCGAACGATGTGAAACACAGAGAAATTTTTGAAAATATAACGAATCAAAATTAGATCCAATTTATAACTTAATGATAATGATAAGAAATTTTAATAAATCGATAAAAATTGATGCCTTCGAAAAAATTTTCGTAGATTCCTTAAAGTATTGGAAGGTTGGATAATTTTGGAATGAAAATCAGAAGTCGAATATAATTCTATAGATAAATAATAATACATAGGTAATTTAATCGTTTTGTAAATATTAATCTATTCAACGCTTACTAATTGTTTGCTTGACCCTATCGAAACCATTAATTTTAATATTCGTCGCTATCGCCACTGACATCCAATATAAAGTAATACTTGTCAATTTTTTGCTTATAAATATCATTTCACCTAAATTATCGCCAGAAACAAATTCAGTGCCGTTCATTTGCGGTTTAGTAAAAGGATACAGGAGTTTTAACAAATATTCTTCTGTATTCATTTTTTGTTCCACTATTTGACGATAATAAATGCGGAAGACGTAATCTGTGTAATGAAAGGTTTAAAGGTGCCAGGTTGTTGTTCTTATATTCCCTAAGCTAGAAAAAATTGCATTCTAGTTTACAAAGTATAACATGCCATATTAAATTAATTTTAAATCCTTATAATTCTAGCAATTTTTTCAAACAAAATGCAAATCGACGACCTATTCTTTTTTTTCGGGATCTGATAATTTTTCCCTTACCAGTTCAGGTGTGAATCGAATATGAATCAAATTATTTTCTCCAAAATTATTTTAAAAAATTTATTTCTTGTATAGGATAACTATTGCTAAAAATTTGCTTGGAAACAAATTAAATCACCAAAAAAAGGTAATCGAGGAGGAAGTTATAGGAATATAAAAAATATATTTGTTCAGCTTAACAAATAATCGATAAATTATAAATATTAATATTAAATAATGGCATATAACTGTACAATGCGATTGTTCTGGCTGCTTTCCTTCCAAGAATTTTACTTCCTCAACTCATCCTTACGTTATTTTTCATTGTTCTAATTTAAATAATAAAAAGAAAAAAAGTTCCTTTTATTTTCAAAAGAACAAATCTTCATTTTTTCAAAAACATTAATCCATATCGTGCAAAGAATAAATCTATGGATATTTCCGGGTGCAACAAATTTTTCATAAAAAAATCTGGAGAATGCTAACGAACCACCTGTATTTCTATCGTTAAGTGACAAAAATTTCTAAATTTCTAACCAGAAACAACTAACCATTGATTTACTTGGAATCACCATTTCAGAATGCAATGTTCTTTATATCTTGGCTAATATTCTTTATAAATCAGTTAATAACAAATATCAGTGCAAATCAATGTCCAACTTATATGTTAAGAAATTCATATGTGCAGGTAATTTTTGCTTACGCTTATTGATATTCTAGAAATTTCAAGCATATCTCCCTTTCACTGTTTAACTAAAAATACAGCTACCATCAAAAATCAATAAGTGTAAAAGAAAATATAGAAAATTAATAAATGACCGCAAAAAAATTAATTCTGTTAAATTAACCAAAATTGATTTTAAAAAATAAAATAAAACTTCAAGCATAAAATTAAGGGACAATGTACATGCTATAACAATAAATATGAAACGATTTCTGTAATCTGTAATAACGTAAATTCATTGGATACTATTCTTGCAATATTATCGAGGATAACTGTACCAATTGATTCTCTTATGATCAACAACACACCAATTCCTCAGGTAATTTCTTAAAATATAAAAATATAAAAAGTAATTATATAATAATAAATTAAATTAAATTGGAATTTAGACTTGTCCATGATATTTGGCACAAATACATTGTTAATCCACTTTGATTATTATAACAATTTTAGTTTTTTAATAATATTCTGCCGTTAGTTTTATGCTTATGTTGTTGATACAAGCGGATGGCTATTGCCGTATATGATCTATTAAATAAATAAATCCAACAAGGAATTTTTCTAGCTTATAGATTTGAATTAGCTTTGAATTAGTTTTCGAATATGGCCCTAATGGCCCTAAGCCTATCCGCAAAATTTTATTTCTTATTTTCAGCAAAATTCAATTATTTTCAGATTCCATTCCAGGCATTTCAAGATTTAATAATAAAACGAATATCATTTCATAATAATAATCTTTTCGGAATTCATCCACACGCATTCAAAGGCAATTTGATACAATCGCTAGAGATGCTGGAAATCAAGCAAAATCACCTCAAAAGTGTCCCATTGTCGAGTATATCCATACTTCGCAACCTAGAAACGCTAATACTATCAAATAATAAAATTACAACAATCGATTCCGAAACATTCGACAAGTTTGAAGGCAAAAATAAACTCTTAAATCTCGATCTTAGTTCAAATAATATATCAGCAATAGCAGATGAAGCCTTTCACGGATTCGATAATCTTCAATATCTTAATCTCGATAAAAATCTACTAAAAGCAATACCGGCTAAGGCAATAAACTCATTAATTAACCTAAGAGAATTATCAATTAGTGTTAATTTGATTGCATCAATAACTGACGATCAACAATTTCCTCAACTACCAAATCTGCGATCGATTTCCCTAGAAGCTAATCAGGTGAGATACAACTGCAAAACTGCAGTCTGTTAAAAAGTCCGAGAGTGGCACTGGGTTATTCAGCTGCTATCCAACAGTAATTTTTATCCGCAAATGACTGACTGATAAAAGGAGCTTTTTTAGCTTTCATCATTTTAATGTTGAAAAACTTTTAAAAATTTCGGAAATTTTGAATTTTTACAGATTCAAGAAATATCTAAGGAAGCATTTGCAAAATCACCTAATATTGTTTATTTGTACTTAAGTGAAAATAATTTTAAATATATTAACCCAACGATATTCCAACATATAAGAAAACTTAAAGTTTTAACAATCGGATACAACAAACGCATAGAAACGATAAATATTGATGGTAAATTTTCTATTAGAATTCCTATTTTTTATTCAATTTTAGTTTTTTAGCTAAATAAATTAATAATTAGAAATATTTTAAAGTTTAATTAGAAAATTAATAAAAAATTAAAATTAAAAAATAAGCTGTTTTTCATGAAAATAAAAAAGGCAAGTGCAAATGATGATTTTAGCATTTCAATACGCTCAATCACTGAGAATGCTCGATTTAAGTGATTGTTCAATATCAAACATCGATGAAAAAACATACCAACAAATTCCTAATATTGAAATTATTAACCTCAAAAATAATCGCTTAGAAAAGTATACACAATTCAAAAATTTATATTAAATAATTAAATAATAATTAAGAATAATTCTAAATTTTAACATTAACTCGAGATCTCTCTACAATTTTAAAACTTAACATCTGGAAAAAATTCGATAGAAAACTTGCTGGAAATAAAAAATTAAATATGAAATAAAAAATTGAAATAAAAAATTTAGAATCAGCCGACAAATTTTTCAAAATCTCGAAAAATTAAACACTTTGGTACTGAGCGGAAACGAGGTAAATTACCTATTTTATTTTTTATTTATTTAATTAATAGTTAAATCCAATTTATCAAAAAAAATCAAATTTCAGATCAAAGAAGTGGAAGATTTAGCATTCAGCAATTTGCCATCACTTAGATACTTGGACCTTAGTAATAATAAATTACAATATCTACCGGAGAACACAATTCTCAATTCTTTCGAAATTACTAATCCAGTGACAGCTCGAACTTTTTACTTATACGGTAAATAGCATTTTTTAACCATAAATTTAAAAAAAACGGGAATAAACGAGAAATATTAAAAATTTCAGTTGCAAAATATAACCAATTTTAAATTTGAAAATTTAGATTTTGAACAAAATTGAGAATTTGAAAAAAATTTAAAAATGTTAAAAATTCAAAATTAAACCATTCAGCGCCATTCATTAAAAATAAATTAATCAAAAATTTTGATAGAAAACGACTGGAAATGTGACGAGAAAGTTTCATGGCTGAGAAAATGGTTGCAGAATAATAAAGATGTTCAAACTATTGCTCCGGGACATTCTTCAATAAGGTCCATTCAAAAACACTGAAAACTATTAAATAAAACAATTAACCATAATCGAATAAAGCCGATGTTATAAGTATTATTTTTTTTTTTTTTTAAAGTTCTCACCGTTACTGGTTCACTCCACTCGCTCCACTGGCTTGTCGCATTGGACAAATGTGTCAGGGAGTCCTTTGGCGATAGAAATACAGGTGAGTCGCCAGCATCACTCGGATTTACTCCTGCGGGAAATCGAACCTCAGCATCGGCGCTCCAAACTAAGCAATTCTATCCCCATTAAAAGAATTATTTAGAAAACAGATTTTATAACAGAATTTGATTGCAAGTAAAAATCTTTAAATTTTCGATAACGCTCACCATTTCGAATAAATTTCCGCCATTTGCAATATAAACAAATCGTCCATGTTTCAGATGTTTTAGCAACACAAATAATTATGAAAATTATTACCACGAAAAAGATAATGCAACAAAACAACTTCAATCAATTTATCCGGTTTACTGGACATTCCAAGGAGCCAACGGACAAAACAATGATAAATCCCTTTACTACAAGCAATATCCTTCACAATTTTACCAAAACTGGAAAAAGGGCGAGATAAATAATGGCAGACCAAATATTCCGACGTTACAAAATCAATCAGAATTCAAAATTGATGCAAATAAGATTATCGAATATAATAACAGACAACAAGAGATTACATCTAAATCGAATGCTTGGCCCACAGGACTATCTGATTTGAACTTGCTTAAAAGTCCACCCAACAACACCAATAGTCTTACTGAATTTACCAAAAATACAACTGAGATTTCGATGGCACAAAGTGAAGGAATGTCAAAGGCCAGGAAAATCGTAGTAATTCTTGGTAAGGCAACTTTTTCAATTATTCAATATATGACCAGTTAATTAGCAATTTTCCTTAGCTGTAATCAAATTTAAAAAAATTTGATGCTGCTGCCTGTTTTCGACAAACAATATTCCCAACAATATTAACGTATCATCGATCCAACAAATCTCAAAAAAATTTTGAAGATAAAAAGCAACTTATCCAGTGCAGCACATCAGCTGGTACTTAACAACATTAAGTAATCGGTTTAAAAGAAATTCTCCGCCACTGATTGATCAATTAAACCGCTCCATTTGTAAAATAATTTGTAAAATAAGGGCTATCCAGTCATTCTATGGACCGCAAATTAAAGTACTAATCCATTCAAGGAGAATTATAGTTGACTGATCGTAACAATTACAGACAAAACAAGCACAAAACATGCGATTCAAATTATGAACTAAGACTATTGTACAGTGGCAAATTTGGCAACTAATACAGAACACGAAAAAAGTGCGCAGAGGACATTTGTAGGTCACGCTATATGTTTGGGTCCTCCAAAGGTCAAATTTAAGTAAGGGATACAATAATATATTCCCAGTCTTACACAAAATAACAGAGCTCTTTAACTCGAAGAGAAAATCTCGAAGTCATTCGATAATAATGAAACCTATCTTCAGCTTCAACTTTCTTTCTCATTGGATTATCATTGCTCTCACTGGTTCTTATATCATATATCCAAAGAAGAAAAAAAAGAAGACGACATCGACGAGAATATCTAAACGATTTTAGCCGATTATCAATGATTTCCGGTCAAGGATCTCTCTATGAAGTCGATATGCTAACAAATGATCGAAATCATTCGAAACTATTCAACTTCCAATTTCCGCCAAAATCGTCTAAATAAATCTTTTCCTTCAACTCTCATTATATTATTTCCTTCAAGATTTTGTCACTATTATTTTTATTTCTTTTTTTAAAAAAAAATATTGTAGAGAGAATTGAAAAAAATTCTTTGGATACACTTAACTCTGCTAATTTAATTTTCTAAATTATTTAAGTTGAAAACAAAAAAATTTTTCTTATAAAATAATCTTAATATATATTGACCACTGCTACCCTTTTTACTTTAATTTACCGCTTTTTATGCTTTTATTTATTAAATAAACATTTATAATATAATGTTTGCCTTGTATGACGGTCATCGACAAATAATTTTTCATTGAAATAATGAAATCGAAAAGAAGGAAATAATCCATATATAGAATATGGTTATGCATGGAAGTTTACGATTTGTGAAATCCCATGGAATTGACTAATTTCACAATAAAAATTAATTTCTGAACGTTGGTCATTTTCGAAATCTATTTGCAATTCGAACCGATTTAAATTCGCTCATTCTTATCAAATATCAGTCAGTTTATCACGGGATTTTTCGATAAAACAGAAAAATTTTCGAGTCATTTGTGCCACAAGTAAAAACTATAAAACTATAGAATTAAAACTATAAAAAAACTGAACTATGAAGGGAACCATATTTAGAACTTTCTTTATTTTCTGAAGCTTTCTGGGTACTTTTCAATATTTCAATAAAATTTTGTGATGAAAATTGTAAACCGTGATTAAATATTTGAACAAAAATTATTCGTTGCTGCAAGAAATAATTTTCCACATTGTGCATGTATATGCGCACTTTGTCGTGTGTATGTGTGTAGGTGTGTCATACAAAAATCTGAAGAACGAGTTGTTCAAATATTAATTCAGTAATGAAAATTCCGTTATTTAAATAGTTCATGTATAACTAAGAATAAAAGTCTACTTGATGTGCTTTTATTATATAATTCAACATTTCCAAAACTGTCGTCGACGAAAATTTGAAAAGGATGATCGAGTTAACGAGAGGAAGGGTTATTGACATTATCACAGCACAGATCGTCATTCGGATAGGCGACGAGTTTAGCGGCGACAACGACGACGACAACAACGATGGTGATGACGATATCAAAATTATAGCCTCGACCTGTTGACCTAAATTCCTGTCCATTTAGTCATTTTGGAGCATACCTTTTTTAAAAACTTTCTCCTTTCGGGTCCTAAAATTCATCATTCTATTCTTACCTCTATAGTTGATTCATTTTTGACTTAAAATATAATTTAGATCTTTTGCGCCTAAGAATTTTCTACGTTTTATTAACGTTAAGAGGAAAAAATAAGGTAGAAGAAAGAACATCTCATTCGTCAGTACTCCCCTGATTCAAAAAAAAATTCTTAATTTTAATTCTAATTTTCATTAATAATAGACTTTCCTTTGGCAATTCTTTCCTTTTCAATTACCTATCAACTTCATTCCACTCCACACAACAATACCAAAGTCCTATTTGACTGCCCTGACATCTCAAATAAATTTTCATGGAACTACCTTATAGACTTGTGACTATTTGACATCTTAAACATGTTTTTAGCAAATTTGATGATTCACGAAAAAAAAATCCATAATCTCCAATAAATCTTCAACAAAAACAGGAATAAGTTGATTAAAAAGAGAAGAAATAAAATGGACGATCATCAGCTACAGAATAAAATAATCAATCCACACTCCTTCCTAATATCCACAACGAAATCTTACCAATTCTTATTGTCAATTCAAATTGAGAATGAATCTTCATATTGCCAATTTTGCCAAATAGAAAATATTTGGACCACTTCTTAGAAAATAATAGGATTTATTGAATACTCTTCGCAAATAGGTTTAACTACTATCTTTTAAGGTCGAGTAACTATCGAATAATCCGCTACACGAATTTTAAACGCGACAAAATATTTTATTAACTAATTTGCTGTTGTTGGGGCCTTATTATTATTTTATAATTATAGGTCGAACAATTGCAATCACCTATAAATTGGTGTGATAAAAATTATCGACACAATTTCCAGCAGTCTTTGCCTTCTATAATTTCTATAAACATTATGCAGTCAACGTCGCTTGAAATTTCAATGAATTAAAATTTTCCTTTTTTCTATTATTTATTTATTTTCTTCTATTTATCCACCAAAAACGTGGCCTTAAGTTAATCCAGTCCATCAATTAAATAGTTTACCTGTACTGCAAATTCTCGATGAAAGTTCGAATGCCAATCTCTTATTATTTTCTGTTGCATTTTTCGTCACGAGAATTTATTCATTCAACGAAGCATTTGCATCAACTGCTTCGTTCACTTGATAATAATTTATCTTATTGTATCACTCATATATGATGAAACCTCAAGCAACAAGCTTGGCCAGATCTTTTTTGGCTAGTCTGTTCATTTTGTTATTTATGAATTTTACTGACAGTGTGGAATGTCCGGACAATTTATCCACAGACTGTTCCTGTGATAAGCAATCGATCGGACTATTTGTTAATTGTAGTCACTTAAGTGAAAATCTTGATGATACCTTGAAATATTTCGAGAATATTAATCTTCAACGATTAACTATCAGAAATGTTAAATGGCATGTAAGTTTAAATTAAAATTTCAAAATCCTGAAAGTCAGAAAATTGATATTTAATACAACAAATTCCATAATAGTTATTAGAGTTATGCTCTAAAAATTTTGTTTTAAATCTAGTGGATATTACTCCAATTATACTTCAAAAATTTTATCGATGATGGAGAATTTAAACCAGTTGACATAAAAAAAAAACAACGCAATTTTAAAACAAACCTCAAAAAACCTTCCCGAATTTTCTTTCTTTTAATACACTATATAAGGCCCATTAGTTTTCCCAGCTATACTTAAAGATTTCAACAACTTAGAGAGAAGAACTGCTTCCAGATGATCAAAAAACTCGGTCGATCAACTTTATCAATTCGATCACTGGAACTGCTATCGTCAGAAATTACAGAAATTGAGAATGGTGCTTTGGAATGCTTATCAGATAGCCTCGAGGACTTGAATTTGTCAAATAATTTACTAGAAAATGTGCCATTCTTTGGATTCCTATCAAAATTATCATCACTCAAACTTAATTATAATGAGGTCAGAAGACCATTAAAAAATACCTATATGATTCCGCTAGTTTTTTTTAAGATTTTCAAGAAGTTTTACATGAGCTGAATTTCAAATTGTACATTAAAAATTTTAGCCAATTTTAATCCATTTATAATTGTTATATGACCATAATTTAAAAATTAAGTTAACTGTTATCACTGACAAATCATTCAATGGCTTATCGAACTTGAAATATCTACATTTGAAAGGAAATAAAATTTACAATTTATCACGGTAAGTTCATTCCACATTAAACGAGCCTAATATTTTCTCACCTTTTTCCGTAATAACTTTGTGTTTAAATTTTTAAATTTTGAAGTCAAAATCCTCTTTAAATTAAAAAATGAAAATGCTAAATAAATAAGCTGAAAGCGGCATTAAAACAGGCTTCATTTTAAGTTATTTAAGTTATTTTAAGTTATATTATCCGTTTCCAATAAAAAAACAAAAAATAAATTAATTGAAAAAAAATTCCTTCAATCAACCACATCCTTGACCTAAATACTTCGAATCTAATTGAATAATGTGTGACACAATTTTTATTCAATAGTTTAATTTTCATACCAAATTATCTATTTATACAATAGCGATTTACCTAAATAATATTAAAGGACCCTCCAAACTGTATTTTTTATTTTATTCCTCGAATTATTATATATGGTATAAATTAAAATTCTTAAAAAATTATCCGAATAACTTGTTACCAAATTTTTAAAGTTTTTTAAAATTACGGCTAATTTATTTATAAATTTATAAATACAAATACAATGCTTCAATTCGTAGAAAGAGTTTAAGATTAAATCTTAAGTTCCATTAGATATGAAAAATAAAAGAAATTAGAAAAAACTGATGTTTCACTTAAATCGTTAATCTTGTTAATCTTCGCCAGAAACCCCTTTTTTTGGAATTCAACGAGCGGCTAAGAAAATTTCCGCAGTTCCTCAAATAAAATTTTTAAATTCCAGTGGTCACCTCTATTTCAAATAAAAAGATAAATACAGTTTTAACATTTTAGCCCAAATGAATGAATCTAATTGAGATGAACCAAGTGTTAAAATGCCAAAGGTTCGGTCTTTGTTCGTTCCCTAACGGGAAACAAACCTAGTTATTCAAAGGAATTTCGATGATGCTGGAGACCAACCTGAAATTCTACTGTATCTGAGAATTTCGGAAGCATATAAGCGTAGGAAACCTAAAAATTTCCAGTAATGAAGCCGAAACAAATCTATTTGATGCCTGAAATTTTTTCCCAAAATTCTCCTATATTAAAGATATTCATTCACAAACCCATTAAGAAAAAATTTTGGAAGAAATAAAGCGCAGTTATTTCAGGAATGCATTAAACGAATATAAAGGGCAACTTGAACTGCTCGATTTAAGTGAAAATAACCTAACAGTTATACCAGCACAAAATATAAGAAGTTCAACACGCCTTGTCTATCTCGACCTATCCAATAATAATATAAATCAAATAGCGAATTTCCAGTTGATGAACTTACCAATGTTAAAGGTTTTCATTATCTTTATCTTTTCTCATTATTCTCATTATCTTTTACTTCTTTTTTCAAACCAGTTAGAAGATCATTCCCAGTTATTATCTCTGAAGTTCATTCATACTTTAAATATTATCTTTTTCCATCCAATCTGATTCTAATTTGACTGGTTTTGCCACTAGGCATGAAACCCTTTGTCAGGAAGGATCCTTGATCACGAGATCTCCAGCATCAGCCACACTTCACCTGACTTTTAAGGGCAGATTTACTTCGTCAAAAAACACGGAGTAGAATCCACATCACTCAATTTCAGACGGTACTAATATGTAACATATGCATTCGACCACTAAGCCTCTTTATTATCATATCATAATGGAAAATGCAAGAAGACCATAATTCATTTTCCTCTACTGATAAAAAAAGATACCATCTTTATTAGGTGCGATTCTTTCATTTTTTTATTCAGAAGTAATCTTACTAACCCAACAGAGCAGGAGTAAATACCTTCAATTTTCGTGTCAAGAATTCGGTTCGGAATAAGTCTGGTTGGAAATGATGTCATGTTTACTCATGAACAGTTTTTCAGGAATTAAGGTTAAACAACAATAGATTAAGAAATATATCACCGATGGGTTTCCTAAATATTCCAAGGCTCCAGCACCTTTATTTGAAAAATAACCAACTCACAACAGCTGATTCGACTTTTCAAGTTTTTCGATATCTTGAAGTTCTCGACCTATCTCATAATCTGTTAACAGAGGTCAGAAATTAAACATTAAATTTAAAATGAAAAATGGAATGAAAAATCTTCATTAATCGATAGGCCATGATGGCTTTTTGCATTTGCCACTCAATATATAAAGCGTTCCAACTAAAGGACAAAATATATGAAACATTCGACTTATAGAAACGCGTTTTCAGATTCCATCGTTCAAAGAATTTTCGAACCTAAAACAGATCAAATTGGATTTTAATCAGATCCGGTCAATCGAAACATTAACATTCTCACAAAATTTTAATCTGAAAATCATCGATTTACAGGTTAGAATATAGAATAGAGGACAATAAATTTTTCTCTGGTATTTACTTGATTCTCATGATTCGCTTATATTTACTTATACTTAATCATGGCTGCTTGACTTATAATGAATTGTTCTGATTCGCTAAAGCGGAGCAAAAGTTAAACTTTAGCAGGACTCGATCCCATAATCTTCGAACGCGAAATCCGACGCTTGCTCACCTATTCATATTCTGCAATACTAATATTTTAGATCGAGAGTTCCCTACCATTTTCTTACATTCTCTATGAAGAAATTGTTTAGAACAGTTATTACGAAAATTTTTTTAAGCAAAATTACAAAAATATAGAAAATACGAATTACGTGACATGAAACTTATGCAATAGCTATGCCAAATGGCAATATTTTTCAAAGCTGGTATAAAATTACTTAGCATTCCTAAACATCTACGTTCTGATATATTCATCCAATTTCCTACTTTCATAATAAATGATTTATAATTAAGCGCTTAACTAAACAACAATTGGTAAAGGCTAAAAATATTGGTTTAATAAGAAGTGTAATACAAATGTGTAAATCCCTACAACTTTTTCACTAGAACAATTTGAAATTTATGTGTAATTTTAAAAAAATAAGTATTTGACATGTCCACCGACCTACTAATGATCCCATTTGGGAATCCTTGTTCAAATAAAAGTTGAATATTAAAGATGAGAAAAAAAAAGAATAAAACGATAATTTTATTACAGAATAACGGAATAAGAATGATATCACGGAATAGTTTTGACAGACTTGATCGACTTCTAATTCTTCTACTTGCAAATAATTCAATTTATCAATTAGGTTCGTTTGCCTTTCACTTAAAAAAACTGGCACCATTGATTGCTGATAAAGAGATTTGAGGAAAGAACCATGTACCATTCAGATTTGGTACTCTATTCCTATCAAAAGCAAATCTGAAGTGATAGTCCAAGAAACATAGCACACTTAAGTCCACTATTTCTGGTCAGCTTCTATCCGCTAATTGTTGGCACGGTGAGAAACTCTTGCCAAAGACTGATAACTTGGTGATGTGTATTAGCACCATATGGATTTTTTTACAAGTCTAAAAGTGTCGAAACCCTGGTTCTAAACAACTTGAGCACCAAATTACTCAGCTCAGCTATCATATCTTCCTGTACTAAAATGACTGATTATTTTATTATTATAAAATCATTCTGATAATTATAAAACCATAAGCCTATAGAACGAGGAATGTTTGATGGTATAAAAAGTTTGCAAGAACTAAATCTACGAAACAATTCGATAAATGAACTCGAAGACACGATATTTACATCGATACCATTACTCAATATTCTGGATCTATCAAATAATCAAATTTCTCGAATTGAACAAAATACTTTCACACCACTGAAGAAACTTTTTTGGCTGGATTTATCATCTAATCGCTTATCTACTTTCGATGAAAATACTTTTAAAGCCAAAATTGCCAATATCTTACTCGATGGTTAGACTATAAATTATGAATTTGCAGATATTTTTATTTAATATTAATATTCATACTATAATAAGATTAATGAAATTTTCTTCATTTCAGATCATTAGAATTTTAATACTTTTTTATTTTCTTGAATTTTTAAAATATTTCAGGTAACCCGTTAGAATGCGATGATCGAATAGAATGGATGGTGAAATATTTGGTGAAAAATCAAGTTCGAACATTTCTACCTTATCAACCAGATGTACTGTGTTTTGGACCAGAAAAATATGCAGGCATTCGCCTGAAGGAATTAATGATTGCTAAGGCTAATGAAACAGTTCGATATCAAATTAAACCAAATAGGGATAAATGGACTATTTTGAAAGGCTTATTGCCTTCGAGTATTAGCGCTTTAATATCTGGATTACCACCGACTTCAATGGACGTAAATTCCAATCTACTAATAAGAGATAATAATGCAGCCAATCTAAAGGAAACTGCGAATTGGGCTAAGAATTTTCAAGATAATGCAACACAATCCAAACAATTAAATGCCATTATTTCAAAGGTTTTTTATTTTATCATGCAAAAATTCTTTTCTTTTTTGATTTCAATAGAATTTTTTTAAAATTTCACAACGCAAAAATATTTTCATATGGTAACAAAAATTTATCGCAGAATTTAAAATTTGAAAATTCTTTTAAAATGCTTATTTCCACTAAAATTCATAAGGCTACAAATTTTCTCAATTAAAAAATTTTGAACTACTTATTGATAATAAAAATTTTGAACTACCAACACTTCTTCTGCAGGGCGCTTCAAGAGGAGAATTACTAACAACCGATATCGAAAAAATTATTCGCATTATGCCAAATCTCACTGTAAACGTACCTGGCATTGGAAATGTCGACATAACTAAGGTGAAAAACAACTGTTTTTTCCTGGCACCGCTAACGACTTTGATCAAATTTTCGAATCATCGAACACGATGATTTGAGTTTATGATGCACATAAATTTTTAATAAATAAATACGAATTTTGCTTATCTAGGAATATTTTTGCAGTTGCCACCAGAAATGGTGTCTTATGTACTTCATGGTGGAATAATACCTGGTTTATCAAAGGAAGCCACAGAAAACGTTGCCCGAAAATTAATACAAAATTTGATGCATTTGACAACCCATGAAGAAATCAGCAATGTTCAGCAATTGCCAAATCTTTCATCCTTGCGAAAACTGCAAAAGCAGCTGGCTACCAATATTATTAGAAGCAATAAATCGCTTTCATATGGAGTTCAAGAAAGAGATAATAAGGTTTCTTCGAAATTTCTTTTGCTATTGATAATCTTCATAACTTTGTGGTACCTTGAATCTTAAACCAAAATTAATAATCAAATTAATATTAAATTAATAATTTTCTAATTAATAATTTCCCAAAATTAATAAAAAATTTTTAATTTGATTTTTCAAATGCAATAGGATAACAGAGTTGCTCAAATTATCACAGTCAAAGTGAGAGCGCCAGAGTCCTCCAAAGCGAATAGATCTGTAATAAATCCACGTGATGCTGGCCATCCAACTATCACTGCATCAACATTATTGCAAATAGGCTAGTGGAGTGAGCCTAATCAAAAATGGCGACCAACAACCACTCAGTTAATTTTTCGGAGTTAATAATAAGTACTTCCATTATTTCAGGAAAAATACAACAACTCAGAAGAAAATCAAACAACTAATATTTTTAATTTAATGAAACTTCAAACAGGTTTTTATGAACTACTAAAAGTTTTACCATCTGGTTATGATATAAATCGCATACCGAAAGAAGCAATTGAGGCCTTAGTACAAGGAGAAATTCCAAATTTTTCTACACTTCCAGATGATTTACAAAAGCATTTAGTGGCCAATCGACAGCTTCTTTTCTCAACTTTTTTGAAAAAGGTTATTTTTTTTCTTTATTAAAACTGAATTGAATTGAAAATTGAATATTGAAATTCAATTTAATCAGTTTGTTTCAACTGTACAAAAAAGAAATTTCAGCCAAATGCAACCATCGAAAATATCTTAAAACTTCTTCCAAAACTTGATCGACCATTATTATCAACATATTCCCCATATGATATTAATGGAATCAACGACGATTTAGTTGAATCATATGAAAAAGCCGAAAAACTTGTCAAAGTTCAATATTACACGGCATTATTGCTCGGTAATCGCTTTCGCTCATTTGCCCCCCAGAAGCTCCATCTAATTCAAAAAAATCGTATCCTACAACAAAACTTAAACCATCACTTTTGACGAATTAAATTCACATGACAAATCTATTTTAAATTTATATTTAAAGGTTTGGTTGGATCAGTATCGATTGTTATAATTGGCTTTCTTTGTATGTACATGCGAAAGAAAAGGTTAAGGGGCACCGAAGAAAATGCGAATATTAACGGCGATACTTTAGAAAACCCAACAATGCAACCTGTACAACTTCCGCAAACATCCATGTTAAACGCTAATTTTCTATCACCATTCATCATTAACAATTCAAATATTGTAAAAGAGGTCGAATATTCGCCATATCGAGATACGGATCAAGCTTATTCAATAATTTCGCCAAATCCTACAAATATTATCGATGATACCGTACATACGACGACACCGCCTTTACATCAAGATTTAGCTTTTATGTTACGTCATTCAAGCTGACAAAGTTCTTGCATTTTTTGGTGTCACAACCACATTTATTAACCAGAATTTGAAGCAAATTTTAAGCACTGCTTACTGCGTTTATAATATACCACTGGTTCTCACAGTTCTTGCATCGTACGACACTGAGGACCCCATAAGAACTCCCGTTTATATCTTTCTTGTACTTATAATGGAAATTAAAATTGAAGAATGTTTTAATAAATTTCTAGATTATAATTAAATGGTATATAATTTAATTATACTATATCATGAACTATTATCACATTACAATTATTTATATTATATTGTAGTTAAACATATCATAGTACCATGAAAATAGTTTTAACCTTACGGAGAGGCCAAGAGTCCTAAGACTCTATGTTGAAGACCACTGTAATCATATGTTAAATTATGCTAAATTAAGCACTATTATCACCGAAAATAGTTTTATTTCAACGGATATAAATTTTTTTTTTTTTAAACGATTATTAAAATTTTTTTGAACCTAAAATCTCACGCGAAGATAATTCGAAATATGAAATTTTGTAATAAATTTATCGCAGAATAATTCGGTGATTATTGTAAATATTGTAATTTTACCAAATAAAGTTTATCATCGTGTTATTTATATTAGATATTTTGCAGATTTTTTCTAGAATTAAGAATTCTAAAGGACGACTGATTATATGTCGACTACCAATTAATAGCTCAAAAAAACTTTCGGGACCAAGGCCAATCTTACCGCAAAGAAAGAAGACCAATTATAAAACGATAAACAGCGTCGTTTATTCCAGAGCGAAAGAAAAGAATTCATGAGTTCACTGACTTCATAATTCTATTACAATAGGCGATTTATTCGCTGTATTTTGCATGCAAAAAAATTACTTAAGAATATAGCTTTATTGTTATATAGATTTAAAAAAAAAGAACTAAGCGATATATATTTGACCTAATTTCAATCGGCAATCGACGTCTCTCGGCAATCGGCTAACGGATCATTTAATGATTCGATCGGTCAAACCTTACGACCTTGCACCATTCAATATCGTTCTCTTCTCATCTCGCTACAGAAATATTATACTCTACGTTTGTTGTTGATTGCCATCCGGAAAACCCGCCCTTAACCACATCACATACGCTGACCAATATTCACCATCAATCGTTCGTATTAGCTGGATATCTACTCAATCAGCTGCATTTATGTCTCTATATTATTCATATCTACCACTGTTGTTAATCATTAATTTTGGTAAAATACTGGCTTGTCCACCATTTATTTCAACACTGTGTGCATGTGAAGATCTACAGAATGGAATAGTGTTAAACTGTTCGATGAAACAAGATGCAACTTCAATTGTTAAAATCCTTCAAGCGAAACAAAGTGAACTTGGTCTAATACAAGAATTAATATTTCGTCACACAAATCTAACAAATATTCCAGCGGCATTTTTTTCTGGTTTATTTGTAAGAAAATTGGATTTATCCACCAATCGGCTGAATAATATCAATCAGAATGCTTTTATTGGTATGAACAGCGTTCTTCAAGAACTTCTTCTTGATCATAATGAGCTTGTCGAATTACCTTCAACGCCAATTGCACCACTAACATCACTGATTCGACTCGACCTATCCAACAATTTAATTCGAGATTTACAACCGCAAAATGCGTTTCCTCCATTGTTGAAGGTTTGATTATTTTTAAATTGACTTTTTAAATTAGAATATGAACCGAACAGAAAACACTGATATTGTTTTATCAAAAATTCGAAATCGATTTTGATAAAACCCCTCTCCTAAAAAATAAAAAAATCACTGAATAATTCAGGTTAAAATGATAACGAAAAAATGTTGATTATGGCAAACCTGAAATATTTAGAATTTCCTTATTTCTATAATACAACTGAAATAACTTTAAAAAAATACACTTCAAAAGTTTTTCCCCCTGTCCGATACCCAAACACCCACTATTTAGTGAAATTGAGGTCGTCTTTGCAGAAATAATTCCAACTGAAGATCATAAATATAGAAGGAATTCCGTAATTATTTATGAAAAAATCTTCAGCGATAGGTTTCATTAAAAATTCCTTTACAATGGCTAGCGAATGAATGGAATGTCAATAAATAATGATTAATGAAATGGTCAAGTTTATGGTTAATAGTTGTTATTTACGAATAATCTTGCTTGTATTATTTTAATTATTTCAATCAATAAGGCGAGGGGAAAAAAATTAACGATTTAAGAAATCATTCGTTATTCTCGAATTCTTCTATATCGCATCGCGAAGAATCACTTCTTAGCAAAATGAATGTGGAAAAAAAAGAACCAAAAAATGGTCGCATATTTAAGTAATATAGTAGTAATTAAGTAGAAAACGCTAAAAAACGCATAAAGCCATGTGCTGATGTGCTAATGTGGTGACAAGTGCCAAAGAATATATCGAAGTATAAAACGGCTTATGGTTAAATGATTGAACATCTTTTTGAAATGTTTCCATAAAAATTGATATTTCTCTTAGTTATTGGATGTAAATCTTGCCGATAATAAAATATGCCAAATTCATAAATCTATATTCAAACAAGTCAAACATAATTTACGAACAATAAACCTCGGTCGAAACTGTTTGAATGAAGTACCTGCTTCTGGTAAATTATTTTTTCTGGTAAAAATCATAGAACTTCGAGATTATTATTATAAAATCAAATGAAGATTTAGAGATAAAAAGCCGGGGAAAAAATTAAATTATCGTTAAAAATTTTTTTTGCAGCAATTCGAGGCTTTAAACAGTTGACAGCTTTACATCTCTATGCGAATAATATAACAAGTCTCAATGCATTATCATTTATGAATCTTCCATCATTAAATCTCCTCAATTTGGCATCAAATCAAATCGTAAATATCCATCGACAAGCTTTTCTTAATGTTCCTAATCTAAGATATTTGTACTTGAGTGAAAATCGCATCGATAAGGTTAGCTTCGATTGAAAAACTTTAAATATTTGGAATTTTTTGGTTCAAACCTATTTAAGCTCTCAGTTTAAAAAAACAGGTATTTCTGATTCTCCTTCTTCTATGAGACACTTTCCAGGGGATCATATGGGGATAAACCCTCAGCACTCCACTCCTAATTTTGTCCAAGGGATAAGAGAAGCCATGTTTCTCAATCCCAATCAAAACAACATTTCAACCGATTTTTATTTTCAATTGGTTTAAAAAATTTCCTTCTTCAAAGCCGAAAAGCTCCTGAAAGAAATAAAAATAAATTTTAAAAAATCCTACGAATTTCAGGTATTACCAAATCAATTCACCTCATTCGAACAACTCGAATTACTCGATTTTACAAACAACGACATTCTCGAGTTAAACGAAAATACTTTTACTGATCTAAAAAATCTTAGGCAACTTTATCTCGGTGAAAATCGAATCACTTTAATTACTGCAAATGTATTCACAAACAGCACAATTGTAATACTTGTACTCAATTCAAATCGTCTCGTTCATCTCAATAAAGACATGTTTCAAGATCTGCAAAAATTGCAACAAATCGCTCTGAAGAATAATCTGGTTAGCTACTTTGAAAAAAAAAAATAAATTTATTAAGTGACTTATTTGACATAACAGTGTATTTTTGTCACTTTCTGATAAATTTTTTCCGGCAATTTCACACTTTTTTTAGAAATTTTGTTAAAATCTAGTTCTTTCTTTTTTTCCACAGACCTAATTTATTTTAAATTCATCCTTTATTTATATTTGCTACACTTTCCATATAATTACAAATAAAATTAACGAAATTTATAAATTAAATTAAATTAAAAACTTATAAATTAAAAAAAATTTAAGAAAAATTGACGAAATTTTTTTATTTGAAATGGAAAATCTTATTATTAAATCTTATTTAAAATTTTTTTTCTGATTATTAATTCATTTTAAAGATTAATACATTTTTATTCAATATCAATAAATAAAACAATATTGTATTGTTTAATATACTATTGAAAGAATTTGCAAAATTCAACAAAATATTAACATTATATAAAATATATTTTTAATTATTGTTGAAAGTGATTTATAGAACGATTAAATATAACTCCACTCATTCACTATTTATCTGGTTTTCCGATAATTCCGACATCCTTCTGCTGGAAAAGAAAATAGATATTTCAAAATTTAAATTAAATTAATCAGTAAGATCAGAGTTTACTTACTGCCTCAATTATCCATTACATCGTTATTTCATTAAATTATTTCCTTATCTCTATGCGAATGCCGTTGAAAAAGAATAAGTGAATTTTAAGTGAATGTTGTTGTAGGCTGATTTCCTAAAATGACTATTTCTTTTCAGTGATAAATCTGAGAAGATAATCGAAAAAATATTTCCAGATCGAATCAATAGATCAGAACACTTTTTATGGAAATTATGAATTGGCGATGGTTGACCTGAGCAATAATAAGTTATTAGACATCTCACCAGGAACATTTTTAATTCAAATGAATTTATTTCTAATTGACTTAAGTTATAATAGATTATTACGAACACCATATGGAGCATTTAATCGCCGAATTAAAACTGTTCTTTTACAAGGTTTGTTAGATTTTTATGAAAAATTAATTTTCTAGGAATATTTTCTAAAATTAAAGTTTATGAAGGAGAGAAGGAAAATTGATGGAAAAATGCTGAATAATTTTATAATCATTTTATTCCTATGTCTACAAGAGGATTGAATTTTGTCCTTGATGGGAGTAAATTTGTCGAGAAGATGAAATCCGAATGGCGCTTAGCTTGACTACGCGAATATGTAATATATAAATGGCTTAATTCAGTTAAACGCCAAAATATAATCCTTTAAAAATATTAACTTAAAAACGTGCTCAAAATATTAACTTAAAAACTTAATATAACCTAGAATATTTTCACAATAAAAATCATCCAGTTTCCTTATGTTTCCTTCAAAAATATAAGGAAAAAAAAAAATTTCCTGCTAAAATTTACAAAAACCGCAAACGAGTATATATATTCTAAGATGACCATCTCAGTGCAAATTTATTTTAAGTTAACCACAGTCATCTATACTCTTTGCTACATTACCATAGCTAGAAATAAAAATTTTCAGAGAACCCATTGGTTTGTACTGAACGTGTACATATTCTACAGCAAGGAGTTGGTATGTTCATACCGAATAACGATGATGTAATATGTGGCAGTGCTAAATCTATGGCATCTATCATTGAGGATAACAACTACAAACTTGATGATTCGGCTGATTTCAATTTAAATAATGCCACAGCCAGCATTAATAGTACCAACTATGGCAATTCCTTTGTACAAGATTCAAAATCAACGACTATCAATCAAAATTTACCATCAATCATTCGACCTTTGTCACAATTATCCGAGGTCAGCTGAATAAATTTTTTTGATTTTATATGAAAGAAATGCGAAGCCAAATAAGAACAATTTATGACTATGATGATTTCAGTTTCAGATTTCAACAAATTTAAATTTTCCAAATTTTTTCGTATATATATGTTCTTAAGGTTTTACTGTTTAGACAACAAATTCAAAAGATTCTCATTTATTGGATGAAAAAATGATGATTCCTATTCGCCCGATAAATGCTCCACCGACCGCAAAACCCGTGAAAATCGATGAAATAAACGATGTAAATGAAGCTTTTGGAAAAAACGATGAACGATTAGTAATCACCAGAGGACGAGGAAATTTTGGGTTTGGAAAAATGCAAAATCATATTAATACGTTTACTTCATCAACAACGTTATCAGTAATTGAGTCAGCAAGTCCTAAAAATGAAATCAATCTACCGACACTTAGTAATGATAACATTTCTATATTTTCTATAAATCCAACAGAAATTTTTAAATCGTTTCCCGCTAAAATAACGCGAAATATGTCACATACTTTACCACCAAGCATTATTATTGCATCACATTTAAATGAAATGAAGAAGAAAGAAACTGAAGCAATATATGAAAAAATTGAACTGCAATATACAACAGATTTACCCAAAGAAAGCGAACGATTCGACCATGAATTCGCTTCTAAATTTGATTCTAAAAAAAGGTTAATTTATTTTGTTTAATTTATTTTTTCTTCGCATTTCGCGTTTGACTGGTTCCACTGGCTATTAGGAGACCTTTTAATAGGAAAGTTTCTTGAAAATAAAAGTATAGGCGAGAGAGAAGTGATTCTCCACCATCATCCTCATCTATTCACTTTATCCTTTTCCAAAAAATGCGAAAACAACTTTCTGAAATGAGAAATTCTACAAGCCAACAGTGAAAAAAATTACGATAATGAATTATTAATTATATAGCAGTTAGCAATTTTAGACTAAACAGATTTATTTCTTCATCTGTGATAACAACAATATGTATTAGTACTGTTATTATTGTTATGGGTGCTGTAATTATTGGCTTATGCATAACAAAACATAAACAAATCAGTCAATATGGACGTGCATCCTCAAGCGGTGCAACAGATGCACGAACTGATGCATATGTTGAAGCACAAGCTGCACATATGAACATGATTTATGGAACTTCAGCATATCGAAACAGGTCTTCCACTGTCTTATATTTTATTAATTGAAGGTAAAATATTTTCTAACATTGTATTTTTCGAATCAAATTTAACTTAATGCAAAAAATTAATAAAAAAATAATTCATTTAGAAAAATGCGATTTAATTTTTCAGAAATCTTCGAACGGACGATAGTCAATCGTGGATGTATGCACCATCGACCTACTATACTTCACATATCTATAAATAAATCTTTATTTTCAACTTTATTTAGCAAATGGTGCGAGTAATTTTGATTTTTTGTTGTACCTCAGCTGAAACAATGAAGTTCAACTCACATACGAATACGAGGTGCACAAGAAAAAATGTGTCATTTAAAAAATAAAATTTAAAAAAATCTGAATGGTAACTAAGTGGCTCAGTTATACTTCTATATCCAAAATTCTAACACTCATTTATATGTCATTGGCTGTTTTAGCCAGTAAGACAAGCCCAGTAAGAATAAATAAATACTTTATTAAAAAAAGGCTCTTCCAGATATTCCAGAAAAAATATATAAATTTAGCTATCAACGACTGTGGAAATCATAATCATTAATAACGAAAAATCTGTGGATTTCGAATGAATGGGCATAAATACTTCTGCTTTTATTCCTCTTATTTTAGCCATTAAAGATAAATTTATAAAAATATAAATAAATACTGTAATAACCTACTTAAAAAAATATATATAAATATTAAATTTCAATTTATTTAATTTCAACTATAATTATCCATTCAATATTTTTATGAATAATTATTATTTTTAAATAACTTTTCTATAGAGAAAATACTGGCAACTGATTAAAATATTTTGTTATATTTACGAAAATCATTGAAAATTCGACTTTTTTCCTTTAATTGATCTTTAAATTTTATCAATTTTTTTATTGTGTGAAAATTTTGAAAAAGACGGGTCAAATAAACATTTGTGAATTCTTTTGCCATATTGAAAAGCAATTCAGTTATTTAATTACTTCAAAATTTAAAAGCCCCCAAAATGATTTAAATAAATGGTTTCATCCTAATTTCTAGTTAGGCTAATTCTGCTGACTGTCAACTATAAGAAATTTTTGCCAGCAAGTCGTTTGGCAATAGAAGTGCAGGTGGGTGGCACCATCCTGGTTTTTAATGGCATATTTTTGCCTACCAAGGTCAGGGAATTGAATCCATGATGATCGACGTGAATGGAAATAATCATACTACTCTGCCTACCTTAGAGTTTTAGATATTCTCAAGAATAAAAATCAGGAATCAAGAGTAAAAACTTCATAGTTCATTTTTCCACCACATTTTTTTCCATAAAACTGCATAAGATGGTTAAAAATTGTGATCAAACGATGGATACGAATGTTTATTGTTCAGAGTATTATTCGAGTATCACAGTTCGATTCCAACATCACACATGAAATCATAAAAAATCAGTGCAGTGCTCAAGATTCACCCATATTTCTATTCCAAAATGAGGTTCTGGCAAAATTGCTTAATCCAACTGGATACAGCAAGTGGATATAACTGCAGCCAGCAAAATCACAAGTGGTGAGTATTAACCAATTACTTAAATCAATTCTGTGAAAAAAATACAAAAAAAATTATTTTAAACAAAGTTTTTCAAGAAGTTATGAAAATTTGCAAAAAAATACTAGTTAATATTTTTTTTAGTGAGCTTTCCAAATAAACTTTAACTGAATGCTGAGTTTTTGGATTTCAGTTAAAGAAATGATTTTTTCGGAAATATTAAAAATAAAATTACTGACAATTTCGATGTCGGAAATTTTGTGAAAATTTTGCTAAGTTAAAGATAATTTTGTCCTTGACCATCAACAGCAGTCAAGTCAAAAATGGAAATCTTTACGGGGCAGCGACCTTTTTCTTCTTCTTCAACGAAAATGTCAACTAGTCAGTTATATGTTACAAATTTATTCGCCAAGCTCTACTACAACAAATCGAAATTTAGCTGCTAAACGATTAAATTCTTCAGCGAACCTTTCATCAATAATATTTTATTAAAATTATCACCACCAGTTTCATCATCAGTACCTAATGTCTATTCAAAAGGCTTTTCTTATTTTCTGCATAAAAATTAGTTTAACAGCTGCCCTTTGCCCGAAATTTTTGAAGAATCAAACTGCCTGTTCATGTTTCGCCTATATTGATGGTATTGTCATAAAATGCAATGGGCCAGATGGTCCAGCAGTTGTTGAACAACTCAAATCGAGTTATCTCGAGGTTCGCGAACTGGCACTCGAAAATGCAAATATCGTCGAGGTATTCTTTCATTTAATTACATTATCCGTATCGAAGTTTCCATAAATTTTTTAATAATGATACTAAGGTCAGGAAAGAAATATTATAACTATTGCTATCAAAAATGTTCCAGTTTTTTCAAATAACTATCAATGAAATATTTAGAATTTAATATAATGTAAGCCATTAGTGCAACCATTTCTAATTAGGCTCGATCCATTGGCTATCAGCACGATACGAAATTTTTGAAATAGAAACACGATATAACACGGGACTGTTCGCCAGCATCGCCTGAATTTTTTAATGATAAATTTACTGCTAATGGAAGCAAAATAACGAACTTCGAAATCCAAATTAAAACCTATCTTTTATCCACAAAAATTGTTTAAAAATTATTTCGATTGAATTAAATTAAAAAACCGTCTACAAAATTACGCTAATGTCACACAAATGAATAACTAAAATATAAACTAAGATCGGACGAAATGCCTTCAAAAATTTACGCATCAAGAAGCTTATCTTGGATAATAACAAAATCCGAGCATTACATCGGGATGCATTTAGTGGACTCGAATCTGTTATGCAAGAATTATCAATATCGATGAATCGTCTCACATCGATTCCAACCGATTCATTAAATGGCATGAAGGCGTTGAATGTACTTAATTTAAAATGCAACTTAATCGAAGATTTAGAGGAAGTCGCTTTTGAGAATTTATACAGCTTAATCGACTTAAATTTAGCTTGCAACCAGGTTAGCGACTTTTTTATTTTCATTCCATTTTGAATATTTTAAAGAAATTTCTAAAGCTTATGAAATCAACTGGTACATTTTTAAATTTTTAAAAGCAACCAATTAGAAGATTGACTTAGAGAACCGATAAAATTGCAACATTGAATACCTTTATATATCAGTCGACTAAAAAAATTCTGCAGAGAGTAAATCAAATAGAGAAAATGAGTGTTAAGATTAAATGCAAAAATACATATCGGTTTTTAGGCGATGAATGTATTATATATTATCATGTAAACATATGATAAGAATGAAGTCACCACTGATTCAATCATAGTGATTTTTGATAGAATTTTCCCCACTTTATATAAAAAATCCAAATCCAAAAAATGCAGTCGAGTGATATGCCGCCAAGATTAGACCACCAAATGTTCGCTTCCTGCCTTTTGACAAGAAAAAGTGTATTATGAGATTGGAACTCCGTGTCCCACATATACTTCTATCCTATCCACATGTTAACCTATGACGATAGAGTCCCATTTTAATTTAATTTTAATTTAAACAGTGGACCAACCAAACCAAATGTAATAAATGCTGTTAAATAAAGTTTGGCAACCCCATAATTATAAAAGTATCGAACTGCAGATTTGCAATATCAGCGGTCCCGTATTTCAAAATGTTCAACGGACCCTACAAAACTTAATACTCGATTACAATTGTTTTACATCGATACCAACAGAAGCGATTCGTGGTCTTGATAATCTCATTGGCCTTCATCTAAAATATAACAATGTTCGCCACTCAATTTTTACAAAAAATTTCCAAATGAAAGAATTCTGAAGAAAATCTCAAACTTTTTGAAATATTTCCAAGTAAAAATATAAGATGTTAAAATTTCTTCAATCCAAGGTCATTTCGAGGTTAAAGAAATCCCGAAATTTTTCTCAAGAAAATTCATGAAAATAGAAATTTATTGACCATAAAATTACAAATTTTTTAAATCTCTGAAGGCCAAAACATTCTTCGTAAATATAATCAAGAATCAAAAAACAGCTATGTCAGAAAATAATAAAATTAAATTTTTAAAATTCTTAAAACAAAATCCCATAAAACACTGGAAATAGCAGAATAGCCGAGTGGACAATGGCTAAAATCCTGTTGAGAGGGAAAGGTTTGGCTCTTGCCTCCAACAGAAGTGGATCCATCATTAGAAAATCCCGGTGGTGCGAACGACTACCTATATTTCTATCGCCAAGTGGCTCCCCGGGAAAAATTTGTAAGCACACTAAAAGCCAGCACAATCGAGCCAGAAATGGTAAGAACTAACCACTTATAATTATGGTTATTTATAAATCACCAAAAATAAACTTTTGATGAATTAGAAAAATGATCTGGAATTCCCTCACCTTTGGGCTCTCTTACTTTCGAATTTTTTATTTTTTAATTAAAATAATTTCAGATAGAACAACTGGAAAATCTTCAATTAATGAATGTATCGAGTCTAGCGATTTTAACCTTAACTGGCAATAATATCAATAAAATAGATGCAAATTTCATGCCCGGTGCTGACAACCTAAGATATTTATACATGGGTAATAATAATTTGACTAGTTTGGAGACCGAATCACTTGAACAATTCGGAAAAGTTCAGGTAAGTCGAGGAAACAATTAAGTAAATCAAGTCTGATATTGTAGATTGACAGCAACTTGATCCAAACTTTGGTTGTTAATCCTCAAAATTTCCTTTCATTTTTTAACAAAATTTCATTTTTAACGATTTATTTCCAGATACTTGACCTTAGCTACAATAGTTTAACAGAAATAACGGAAAGTATGTTCTCCACTTTCGAACAACTTCAACATATAAATCTTGAAGGCAATCTTATTAAGGTTCATTTTATCATTTAAGCACAAATCCTTTAATATTTTAAGTTACAAATAATCTGATGTGCTATTTTCAGGATATAGCTCCAGGTGCTTTCGCAACTACACCTCTACTATTGTTATGGTTGCCAAATAATTGTTTAACCTCTATATCACCAAATATGTTCCAAGGAACACCTTTCCTCAGACAAGTCTCACTTGCCAACAATAACATTCGTAACATTGAGGTAAAAACTTATAAAACTTATTATTACGGATGAATAAGCATCACTATCTTTAAGTCTTTAAATCTATAAGTCTTTTAAAACTCTAAACAAAAAATTAAAACTAAAAATAAAACTAAAACTAAAAATTAAACTAAACTAAACTTCAAAACTAAAAATTTCTTGAATTTCTAGAATTTACTTCTTGCAGTTTCAATAAACGATAACATTTTCAGCCACTAAGTTTTGCACATCTAGCCAATTTACATACTCTTGATCTATCACATAACAAAATTGAAGTTCTCGAATCTGAAGCAATTACTGGATCTGATCATCTCACCGTACGACTACAAGGTTCAAATCACTGCCATCTCAAATATCATAAATAACATTAACAATATCAAAATAATAATTAAGCGACACGAAGCCTTGAATTTGAAAGAGGCTTTATTTTGCATAATTAAAAACCGCGTTCTGCAAGGCAATGGGATTTGAGCTTTTTTATAAAAAAATTTTTGTTATGAAAAAGTTATTCACTCACACTTTTAGCAAAAAACCTTATAAAACCTTATAAACATGAAATTATAATTGTAAATTGTAAATTTTTAGAAAATCCGATGGTTTGTTTACAAGACGGTTTTCATGTTATGAACGGCAAAGAAGCGATCAATTTAACAATTGAACCAAACCTAATTTGTAAGACAAATTATAAAGAAGACACTATCGATAAATGTCCTAAAAATATTGATCAGCGAGCGTCAATTCCGCCATGTTGTAATATAATCAAATCATATAAAGGTTGATTTCTTGAAATGATAAAAAAATGATAAATCAATAGTCAACAATAGGCTAAAATGACAGTTCAAAAAATATTGACTAAATCTACTTATCGTTTCCTGACTAGAAAGGTGAAATTATTAGCAAAAAAATAAAAAAAAGAAAATTTGATCGAATAGTTATGGAATAATTAAGACAAAATGAAATGTACAACAAATTATAGAGATGAAACGAACAGAAGAAGCAGAACTAACCACTGCTAAAGTTCCATTCACGACAAATGAAATTTCATCTCAAGATGAAACTACGATAAAAGTAACAACGAAAGCAAAAAAAAACTCTAAGAAAATCAACTTGGAACGATTTCTGAAGCTTTCTCAACAACCTGATATCAATAGAATGCCAATATATTCACGACGTACAAACTTCATACCAGTTAAAAGTCATATGTTAAGTATTTATACACCAGAACCGGAAAATATAAAGGTTCTCTTATCCTCATAAATGTTTATTTTATCTGAAATACCCATTTTATAAATATTTAAGAGAAATTTCAGAGATATTACGTCATGAAAGAATATTTTACAAGAAAAAACATAAAACGCAAATTCATAATTCGACCACTAATAAAACGCAAATTCATAATTCGGCCACTAATAAATTTACTCAATAAACAAAAATAAAGAAATAATTGTTTTGTAGAATTAATTCAATGAGAAATTCACGTTTTTAGAATACTACTTCCAATCTCTCTACAAAAAAAAAGCAATTAAAAAATTTGAAAAATACTACAAAATACTATAAAACTAAACTTATTGGAATAAAAAAAAAGCGTTTTCATTAGCAAATCCACTTGTTAATGCAAGTTTTCAAATGAAATAAGTAACAAAATTTTTTTCACAAATTTTTTGCCTTTTAATAGTTTTCAGTTTTTAGCAGAAATTTATATCAGTAAAAATGAATTTTTTAAAAATAGTATGAGATATTTATTTATATCCTTTTTATGTTCAGATGTATCGTCCAATACCATCAAGAATTGAACAAAGACAAAAATTAATGGCGCAAACTAGATCACGACTTCCACCATGGATTCAAACACATTCAAAAGATAAGGATGAAACGGTGGACTTTAGCTCTGACACCCGAGTGGAAACAGTTATCAACGACTCATCACAATAATTGTTGTATGTTTATTATTCCATATATTATTGTATGTTGTATGTCAGATTACTAAAATTTCAAACTAAAAATTCAGATATGATGAAAATTTTTTAGCTACGATTAAAAGCAAATTCATTCAAAGCAAATTAAAATTCATTTTTCGATAAAAAAAGAATTTCGAAAAAAATTATATGTAGAAAATTTGCTCTTGAAACAATTGTAAATTAATGAGCATCCAGCTCTTAATTTTGATACTTCTAATAATGATAAATTTTCATGAAAGTATTAAAACGCAATGAATATTAAGCAGATCAACAAATTCGTGACATACTTTTAACAATGGATCATTTCCATTCGACAAAGTTGTATATAGTAAAATATACACAAATCTTTTAACAAATGAAGAGAAAAAAATCGAAAACAAAAAGTCAGAAAAAAATATGCAAGATAATATCAATGAAAAGAAATGAAATAAATAACCTACCTGATTCAAATGATGGTGAAAATTTCTTGATATCCTCAATTGAATCGTAAGGAGTTGGAATTGGACCGCGAGTCAATATGAGATTAACTTCAACCTAAAACAAAAAAAGGCCAAGGAATACATTAATCCAGATAAATTTACATTTAAATTTACATTTCCATATTTTTTTTAAACATTATGTATATATTATAAAAAAAAAAGAAACTTTGCGAACTAAGGCGGCAATAATCAACATTTCAAAAAAATAAGAAATTTATTTTGCATTTATTTTTACTTTAGGTTGTTCAAGACTATATGTGGATTTAGCTTTATTTCTATTTATAATATATACATTTTTCTATTTATTCTGAATTATTTGTGGTAACTTCTCGTAAACCATAATTCAGTGGAATCAAAAATAATCCAATCTTCAATGATAATAATAGAAAAAATATTTTAAAAAAATGGAATACTTACGTTACCAACTAAACATATCACAGAAATAGGTATATAAGCCATACTGTTGGAAGAAAAAAAATTGATATCCGCTTCAAGTTGATCAATAAATACAGAAAAAGAAGCAAAAAAATGAGAAATTTGCAAATATTGAAAGTGATCTAAAGTAACCCGCAAAAAATGCTGCGGTTGTAGAGCAATGCGAATCTATAAATGAATCTATAAATGAATTTCAATAAAATCTGCGAGATAATAACAGAATATTGTTTATTTTATTTCATCAAATGGTGTAATGTGGCGTATATGAGGATTATAAATATTGCATAAGAAAATAAACGAATTTCACCACATGGCAAAAAAGAATGGTTTGAAAAAATTGCAAGCACATAAAAAGCTAAGGAAATACCTGGGTTGCCGATTTATTAATAACTGCATGAAAAGCCACATCACTCAGAAGAGGAGTAGATAAAGTAAATTCACCGTGATCGGTATCAACCCATATAGGAGAAGTTTTGATCCAAAGACGTTCCTCATCTAAAAATTTTGCTCATTACATTTTACAGGCATATTTCTCAAAACGTTTCATTAACTGTGGAACAACAAAATGTAAAAACCTTCAACATAATCTAGTTCATAACGAAATCTTACATAATCTAACGTAATCATAAATTTCAACCAACATGTAAAACTAAACAAAACTAACTTTCAGAACCATCTGTTGAATTTTGGTTCAAATGGACAACGAAATTTCGAAACGAAGATTTGTCACAGGGAACTTTCAAGGAATCAATGAAATCAATAGTGCTCGAAGATAAAGATTTAAAAAAACTAGAATCTTGAAAATTTTCGTTATTAACTGCTGTCACCGCACTCATGCTAACCACCACTCGCCGAGGTAAGCGATTGTCTGCCTTTGATGAAGAAGACAATGGCACTATTACCTGAAATGGATCTAAAATCATTATCATTGGTTTATTTTAATAGTTAAGATGAAAATAAAAGATTTTATACAGAAGGCAAAGTTAAGAGCTGAGTTTCTGAAAATCACTTTAAAAAGTAGCTCACTTTCGGCATTAATGCGTCAATACGAAAATTCGTTTTTGGCATATTCTGTATATCCAATAATACCTCAGAAGATTGCTAAAAAAGATGTAAAATTAAAAATCACTAAAATCTTAACTTCAAAAAAGCCGTATGGTATCAATGGATAACGAATTCTCTTAAAAATAATAAAACAAAAAAGAAGAAAATAAATGAAGATAATACCAAAGTTTTATCAATGTCATTACAAACATAAAGAATCCAACGTATCGTCCTTTGATCAAATACAAACGAGAATGGTCCAAGTAGAAGATGGGTAACATTTGAAGGCACTTAGATTAAATAAGGTAAACACAAAATATATTTAAATGAATATATACATATAATGAGATAAATTGGTATTTTAGTTTGGATCAAGCACAAGAAATGCAGAAAATTATTTCAATTAAGCAAATAATAAATAAACTTACATGGTACACTTTCTATGGCTGGATGATAGAATGAAGTAAATTCTAGATGAACTAGTGGTTCAGTGGGAGGAACAGAAGCTTTTGAATTTCTATCTGACATAAATACATTAAATAGTTTATCTTTTTTCGTGTTTGAATCAGTCACACACTGAACAATCAAATCGTAAATCCTAATTATACAGTTTTGAGATAATAATTGTGGCCAGATTCGCATAAAACGATTTCGTACATTTGCAACTGTAAAGCAACAAGAAGTTTTTCGCAAATATAATAATATGAAAACCAAAAATTCCAACTGAAATATATACCAGGCAAAAAATCCCTTTTATCATAAGCGCTATTTTCCTAATTTTTCTATTTGAATCGTTTTTTTTTAGGAAGAATTGCAAGACTTATAAATTATTGCAGTTCACAGCCGAGAAATTAAAATTGCTGAAAATACGATAAAAATTTACGGAAAGTTACGGAAATTTTTAAATTTTTAGAGATTCAAAAAAATAATAGCTTTACCAAGAAGTGAACATAAAGTACGATAATGAATTTCGAGGAGTTCCCGAACCCAAACAGAGCATTGGTTCTGCGCGTTATAACGCACCCAGTTTAAGCGATCCGAAACAGCCAAATTAGCAGGATAAAAATCGATTGATATGCGTTGAAGTGTTACTTGAAGAGCGCCACTTTCTATATTCCAATCTTGGGGAAAGTCTAAAATTTCCTTTCAATAAGAACGTTTCAAACTTAATAAATGGTTTACGACAATCGCCAAATCGGCTTACTTGAAGAATCCGAATTATCGTCACATAAATGGAGATCAATTTTGCCGAAATAAAAGTGAAAAGATGTTTGATCGAAATCAAAATTCTGGAAGGTTTTCGAGATCGAAGTCTTACGAGCGACTTTTTGCGTCGTCAATATTGCTGACTTAATCTCATTTTGCTGCATAATTTTTGGAAATTCGCAAATTTAATATTATTTTTATTAAAATATACATTTTAATATAGAACATTATTTTCATAAAAATAATCAGAATTTTAAAAAAATGAAAATTAAAAAATCAATGAAAAGGAAAAATAAATGGAAAAGCATGGAAGTTTTATAAGTTCTATAAGAAGTTATCATACCAAAAATTAGAATCTTAATTGCGCCAGACATTGCACGAAAGAATAAAAACCTGTAAATTTTGACCGATTTTCTTTGGAGCTGCTTTTATGACACTCATTATATGACTATAAAATGCTATAGCCGATCTAACTTGTGGAAGAGTAGCAATCCACAAAATATCATCAAGAATCACTTGTATTCGACCACCAATTACAGCACCATCTGTATATATTTCAGCATTAAAAGATCGAGTTAACTAATTTTCCAAAAATTTATATTCAATTTTAAGAGGAAGATTATTCAATCTCATGAGAAAATGCAGAAAAATTTACCTAGAATTGATTTTTTAATCGAAATGCGACTTTTCCCACTACTTGTAATAAGCCTCAGAGGAGCATTTATATTTGATCGTTTCGAAGAATCGCTTCTAACAGAAGCTTCAATACGCAACAACTGCCAAGTTACCTGCAGATTAAAAATCGCAGCACTGAAAAAAACTGCAATATTTAATAATGTTCAGCTGAAATAAAATAATACCATTGAATTTCAAAAAATGGTGAATTAAAACAGAAAGACGATAAATGAAACTAACTTGTTTAAACATAAGCATTTGGTTTAATGCTTTATCGATAATACGACTATACCTTAAATTGGTAATCGCTTGCCAACCCGGACTACGACTTTCAACTGACAGCCTTGATAACTGTAAAAAAAAAAATAAATGTACAAAATACCACAGAAAAAGACCTATATATTAAAAGCACCTTGATTTTGAAAAATAAAAAAATAAAAGTAATGTTAAATGTTTGAACGAAAATAAAATAAACATACCATAAAAGACCCCCCAAAAACACCAGAATCGAAATGTACTTCCATCGAGTTAACATATAATGACATACCTTCAACAACTCTGTTTGCAAATCCATATGAAGAGTCCGTAAGACCGCTGCAATATAAAAATTCAAACGATGCTTCAACAAAATTTTTTAAAAATCATACCTCAAAAAATTTGATACATTCTGCGAAGGAGTTTCTGAAGTGAGCTGCACATTGACCCGGATTTCATCGACAAACTAAAATTTATAGAAATTATAGAAATGAAATTACTGAAAATTTTTTAATATTCATTCACAAAATTATAACAACTGAAGTTGGCCGAGTAAAGAAAAAACACTTTCAATTAATAGCTTCATGTTCCCGTTATTAAATAACATATAGAACTATTTGCATATGATGGATAGAATGGTTCAGTGGATTGTCGCTGAGTTGCGAGCGCCGATGCTGAAGTTCCATTCCTTGAAGGAATAAAACTGTATAAAAATCCGGATGATGCTGGCGACTCACCTCTATTTCTATTGCTCAAGGGTCCCTTGACATATTGCTCAATATGACAAGCCGGTGGAGCGAGTTTAACCAGTAATGGAGTGAGGATACATGGACATTGATGAGGACTCTTTAAAAAAAACTATTTGCATTCGAAATACTACCGCCAGAAATCATGTTCCTTTCCATCGTCGTACCTAAAATGAACTGAAAAAATAAACCATTTGTAAAGGCGAAGATTGTAATCTAGTCCAAGGCACTTTAACGGAAATTCGATTGCACGTTGCTCGATTTATTCTAAGCCAAGCTGGCAACTCAAGAACCTAAAAAGAATTTTAATTTTAATGAAAACAGTCCTTTTCACAGCCACAGATTTTCAGTAAAATGAAAGACGATTTTATGCTAACTTCAGCACAATTAAAATTATTCATCTTAAGCATTCATCTTTTTCATTTCACTTAGTACTTTAAATTTGCTGGAAAATTCAATAATTCAAAAGAAATAAAAGAAAAGAACGTTTAATAGATAAATTTGAAAATAAAGATAAAGACAGAATAAAGAAAGTATGCCTCAGCTAAAACTTCTTCATTTAATTCAATATCTCTAAGTTCACCATGTCCACTGAGTATTTGCACACTAATCTGATCAGCCGTAATATTTCGAGCAAATCTGAAAAATAAAGTTTTTTATGCAAATGGAAAACCATAGAAAATATTAATAAATAGAATGCAACAACATTAGAAAATTAAAACATTTATTCATTGAGAAATAAAAAAAGCACGATTAACAATTTTCGCGACATGTAAATTCAATATTATTTCTCCGGTTATCCGGTGCGCAATGCCACTAAAGCCCACTAGGCGTTGTCTCCTTGCACTCAGCTCTGTCTTCCGTCCTCTGTCCTCCCCTCTCTATTCTTCTACCCTCAACCTGCCTCATTGCCGCCGTATTACTTCAACGTCACAGATTTAATTTCGCATCTCCATTAATCCTTGCAAGAAATTACGAGAAGGCAATAGTTATATGGCGAAATGCGCGCATATCGAAAGTGCATTGCAATTGCATTACGTTGTTTAATTTAACTGTAAGGAAATTAAAAAATTGCGGGAAAAACGAACTTCGAAAGATGTTTGATGATTTGATTTTTTATCAAATTTGCCATCACATAACCACACGTTTGCAAAACTTTTCGCCTTTTTCTTTTCTCAAATTCATTGAAATTTATTTTAAAAAAAATCGGAAATTAAGCCATAAAAAGATGAAAGTGATAAGAAACAAACTGCAATTCTTCTTTATTCGAATAAAAACTTCATTCGCATTTTAGCAATTTTTAATTATTTAAAGTCGATTCTCTAGAAAAATTTTTAAAATTTGAAGATTTCCATGCTTTTCTCGTTATTTTATCAGTTTTACAAATATATAGGCTTAGGCCAAGAGCGACGAAACCGAAGTTGAAAAGGCAACTAGAAGAAAGTTTCCAGAAATTGAACTAAGCAAATAAATATGAAAAGCAGTTAGACCATTTCGAATGAACTGACGATGTGAGAACAAAAATCCGCCAGAACGTCTAATAATCGTATGAAAATTTAAGTGAATATCTGTGCCGTATTTTAGTATCGGATAGGCTTTCAACGAATTATTGTAATTTGCAAATATATAGGGTTAGGCTAAGAGCGCGTTTTCGGATCTTTTGATTTGAACTTTCTGGAAGTTGAATTTTGCTTGGGACAGGAGGGGGGAGTGGTGGAAAGGTGAGCAAGTGCCGGATGAGCACATTCAAGTCCTTCTCTTGCTACTTGCTGCTGTGGAGTGGACCTAAGCTTTCCGCGCCCAGTCCTAAGGTTTGTAGCTGAGGCTTATAGCCTATATAAAACTATAGAAAAATTAAGGATTTCTTTATATATTTCCGTTATAATGAGGTTTATTAATGAGATAATAATTAAAATAATTAAATGGTTAATTACCTTTTACTGATTGATGAATTCCAGCAGCTTTGCATTTGTTGGACTTTTCGATTAAATGGACAGCGCGAGCTTGTGTGGGCTTCTCGCGCAATTTTTTTTCCTTTCTCCTTCACTTTTTCTTCTACTATTTCTCCGTGTCGCATCTAGTGTTGACAAACTGATTCCTCAACGATAGGTGAGCGTCTGTCTTTTATCGAAAAGCACAAAAATCTTTAGACTTTTAAAACTTTAAAAAAAATTAAATTATTTCTTGGTAAATTTTATATTCAATTTTTTTTAAATTCAGTTTTCAAATGAGATTTAAATTTTGACAAAATATATGTTTCTGAAAAATTTTTGTCTGACCAGTCTTTTCTCACAAATTTTTGTTTAGAATTCTGTTTTTTTAAAAAATTATGTTAAAGGCGAAGGACAGAAGAAAAAATTGAATTAGCGAAGGTAATGCGATTAAGAACTGATTATTTCAAGCTCAGATCAGATATTTATTGTTTTTACTCATGCACAGATGGCAGAGTATTGTTGTTTTGGTTATCGTTTCAGTTGTTTGGCATTATGGTTCTTCCTTCAGGAATAAATCTATTAGGGAATAAATCTACTGTGCTACTGAAGATCCATTTGTGCTCTCCTCATGCTCTCTGGCAAATTTGTTTCATCCTTCCAATAACCAGTGCAGTTAGTCAATCAAAAGTGTCTTAATCACTTGCTTATATACATTTTTGCTTATCTTGTTTGCTCATTTTCCATCATCATTAAAAATTCCCAAATAATTCGATTTCAAAAAAGAATTTTGTCGCCGTAAATCACAAATCAATTAATTATTGTGAAAATCGTAGGTAGGTAATTTCTAAATTATCATTTTTATCGTCAATTAGAAGTATTAGTTATTATTATTATTAACTTATTATGATATTACTTAAAAGGTTATTAAATTATTAAAATTAAGTCATTAAAATAGTTGAACTCGCAAATATAAATTTTAATATTATGGATGCGAAAAAATTCAATGAAATTATTAAAGCCAATTAAATCTATAACTATGGCTTTGCAATCTTTGATTATTTTACATGAAATATTAGCATTTTAACTCTATATAATTTCCATTACATATGGGTCATCAGCAGCGGATTTTGCGTCAGTGATAAATTTTCTATTATCATGGGATAGAAATTGAACTTTGATGTAATCGGGAACCAAATAGAACAGTTTTGTTTTCAGTTGATTTAAAAGAAAGTAAACAAATGTAAGGTATTTTTTTTCGACATCCACTCTGCTTTTTCAAACGAATTTTATTGTTGGACTTTTTCAAAATTTTCCCTAATATATAAAAAATCCGATAAGCAAACATTGTTAAATCTCTTAAACAAAATTTCAGTAATGGATAATTGTAGAAATATGGATAGTATCTTTAATTTCATTTTGGAGTGCCCTTCTACTTGATTCACTTGAAGTTTCACTTCCACAGAAATAAATATCCTTTCGAAAATCCAGGTAGTACTAGTGATATTTACTATCATCAAGTGCTTCCCTGGCAGAATTTGTCTGGTACATTCAACCAGTGGAGCGAGCCTAACCAGAAACAGTGAGTATTTCTATATATTTGCATATTCATAGAACTTTATTTTGATATTTAATCTTCTAATATTTAGAAGTGCAATATATCGTGCGACAAATAATCATTGTGAAAAATTTTATTTGAGCAATTTATTTTGAGTTTTTTTTAGAATAAGATCGATAAAAGCAAGAATAACGAAAAGAAAGTAAAAGTAAGTGAAGAAAGTAAATAGAAGTGCAAATTTACAAATTCAGTGGGAAAAATTAAAAATATTTTATTGTAAACAATAAAAGTTAATGTGGCAAGAAATTTTGGTAGATAATCTTTGCAAAAAATGCGAATTATACAATTAATGACTTATGGTTTGTGGCGATCATCCAAGACTCGCACCGCAAATAATCCATAAACTGGCTTATGATCTGATGCGTTCTCTTCCCACATTATATCGTATTTTAACGAATTTATTTGTTTACTTTTTTTGCAGTGATATAAAATGCGATCCTGAAAAGAGATGAAATTAAAGAGATGAAAAAAAGAGAGTATTACTGAAATGAGTATTATTATTTATGCAAGCCTTGACAAAAAGTCTATAAATTATTATTTTAAACGTTTACCGTATAAGACGGAATCCGATTACAAACATATTCATTAGAGTTGACGATGAATTTATGAGTTGGCGGAAATCTTATCATAGGCTCTTGAAAGTTTTTGAAAAAAATGCCTGAAGTAGATGATCTTTGAATCTTTTTTAACTCGCTTTATATTTTGCTGAAGATTTTGGTGCGGATTTAGGTTATAAACAGATTTTCTTTTAACAGCCCCTTCTTCTTCTAACAGCTCTCATCATTACTGGGTTGTAAATATCTGAAGCGATGTTTCAACACTCTTCTTAACGTGGATATCTGCATTGCGCAACCGCACTTAGGTCTGAATATAGCTTGTTTAGGGCGTCTCCTGTCTCGTATTTCCGTAAGTCTGTTGAGTAAAAGGGAAGCAAAAATTTTCATGTCTAGTAGGCTGATTCCTAGATGTTTTCTCGAGGATTAGGAGCAGAATTGCTTTGCTCCAACCATCATTTTTCCATACTTGATAGTAAATTTATGAATAATGGAGGTTATTTCTTTTTCTTTTGGCGGCAATTGCAAGCATATGGTTATGGACGAATCAACTTTCAGGGGCAACAGAGTTAAGTTTGGCCTCAAAGAATTTTTCCATCTGATGAGGCAGTCCTTAATATTTTTTACCGGGACGCCATTGCTATCCCTTACCATTCCATTGATCAGTCTCCGGGTTATAGTTACTTTATAAAATAGTTTCATATTATCGCCTAATCGAGTCGCCGTCTCCATTATCAAGGCCATGTCACTCCAATAGTGATTTCTGTCCTGCCATGTTGTAAATCTTCGAAGCATCTGGTAGTTAGGATCACCTGACATTCGCGCTTTGGCAGCTTTTTCAGACAGTTGCTTCCGATATACAACTAGCGCATTTCCTACTAGTATGCCCTAGAAGTGGCTGATTTACGGAGACATTCCTTTAGTTTGGACCAGTTTTCATTTGCCGTTCCAGAAAAATCATAGATATTTGCATCATTGAGATGCTTCAATAATTCGGTTGAAACGCGCTCACTGTCCCCGAATTTTTTAGTTTGAGAATTTGAAGGATCTTAGGGATGCTTTTTTTTGCTAGCTGTCAATTTTATGCGGATTGAACCATAACATGGTCAGATCCATGAAGATTGCCCGTTTCAACGCCACAATAGGAATGATTATTTAGTGCTGAACTCTTCAAACGGCGATTGACTAAGATATAATCAACCTGGTATTAGTTATCCGGGGGAGGGGGGGGGGGTTCCATGTGACTAGATATTTCCTACGATGTCGGAAGCAAGTATTAATAACGAAAAGTTCATGCTCTTCAGCATAACAAAGAAGGCATTCCCCATTGGCATACCGCTTTCAGATGCCATATTTGTCAGTTGTCGAGGTCATCGCAGCGGCATTATCATCCTACGCACTCATTCCAGTCTCTCTCGATTATAACCATATCACGTTTCGGTAGAGAATTTGTTAACAATTGAAGTTCCGTGTAGAACTTATCTTGATCACAAACATCTGCAGACAACGTTTGGGTATAAATACTTACCGAGATATTATAGAACTTACCTTTAAATAGTCTTTTACTGGTTTCCACTCAAACAAAACAGAATGGGCTTCAGACATGACAATCGCTATGCCACTTCGCGTCGCGTTATCCGAAGCACCACAGTGATATGGCAATATATCTGCTCTAAGCCAGAATCAATAAAAATTAAAATGCTCAAAGAAAATAACCTTGATTGCGTCCTATAGTAAGTTCATCATCACTTAATAGATGTGTGAACATAATTTCTCCTGACGGTTGATCGAAATGTCTAACTATTTCATCCAGCCGTCTCCTACTTATTAATCGAAAATTCATATCACCCAACCAAAACACCTTGAAATAGTTTGATTGTATGATGATTTTTTTTAAGAAATTGGAGAAATATTTTAAACATACATTTTAATAAGATAAATTTTTGGCCAAATTCTTTTGTTTTTATAAATTTTTTACATTTAATTATATTTCTTACATTATATTGGTTAGGCTGGTTGCGCCGGTTAAAAAGATGAGGCGCTTTTAAGCTATTTGAAAATGACAAAAGCTACTCCTTTTCCTACTGCCCAAGTCCATGTATCGCTGGGCCACTTATGTTCAAAATCAGTTTTCTCATTTTTACCATCATCCATCATAGGCTTAGCTAATAACGAAATATATATCAATTCATATAATTAGCTTAATATGACTTAGCCAGCGATATTGTCAATGGAAGTCGCAGTCACACAGAATAAAAGAATTATGCGCACTATAGCGATCTCAGCTATTTTTTTCAATTCGATGGCCCCATTGTGCTAATTTCGGTTAAATGGTTTCGCAGTAATTTCACAAAGATTTTGCAAGGAGGAAGCGTTTATAGTTGCTGTTATCTGGGCTAAAATTTCGTCTTTTGCATGGCCATTTCGCATAAGAGTGGATCTAAGATATTTAAGGGATGGCTTAATAAAAAATATTTTATTAGTGTCGGCTGTATAAGTTTTACTTGCATTCAAAAAAACCAGAATTCTATTTTTGCTGCATTAGTCGAAACACGGTTTAGCATTTGCTGTAATACTTCATAACTATCTTTAGCGTTTTATTCAAGATTTGTGACATTATTTTCTGGACTCTTTCCTGCCTCTTTCCTGTCCACGTCTTGAGTGCAAATAGTTAATTATATGATAATACTTACATATTCTATTTGCTGAGAAATATTGCTCGAAGAATCGTCAAATGAAAATGGTGCATACTTCAAGCTGTCACGAATTTTTCTATAATCGTCGACTCGCCGTTTAAGAAGTCCATCTATAATTTCTTGAATAATTCATTAATGGGTTTAGCAAATCAAATAATATTAATTTTGGTTAATAGGATTTTCATGCGTCTTGGTCGTGAGCAGCCGTGCGCTCATCGATTTATTGATAACGCTTGCTCCCATTCTTTTTTTCCATTTTCTTTTTAAATAATTTAAAGTTTTTAAATAACCTAAATAGTAAAAAATTTTCCTTAGTTATTTTTTCCCTTTGTCTTGACAACATAAAATCTCACATTAAGGCCAAATCCGAGTGGAATCTTTTATTTTTGTTCTTGATTTTCTATCTCTAAGCCTATGAGTATAGAAAAGATCACAATATCAGCATTCGCATATTCCAATGAGAATGGTATCCCTAAAACTTTGGTATATGCGATAAGACCAAGAGGGAATAAATTTAAAAACGGCCATTAAATTTTCGAGAACTAGCCCAAGTAAGGAAGTCGATAACACTGTACATAATGAGATCCTGACTAGCTGTGTAAAATGTCTGAATGGATAAAGAGTCAGGTGGCAACTTTCTACACTTTATTAAAATATTGTGTGGATATCGTTTGCCTGTCGAAAATCCTTTTCCTGATTCTGAGGTTAAAATAACTGTACCAGGTTTGGATAAAAAAGTATTGGCTTTATCATACTGGCTTATTAGTGCTAATGCTCAATAGCTTAAGGACTAATGCTGGTGCTTATGTTCCCACGCATGCACGAGTTTAAATTTGTATAAAGGCAGATTCTATGCTGAACTTAACGAACTTAATCGAATTAGTAGCGTTACTCCAAAAAATAATCGTAATATTGAGAGACGATTGCGCACGTTGGATGTAAGGCCATCTTTTTATCTTCTTTATCTTCTATGGTCGATAAATATGGCGTTATATCCTATATGCCGATGAAGAAAATTTTATTTCGCTGCCAGGCACGAAATTTCTGACACCAGTAAATGCTTTCTGCTTTAGTAGAAGGTATCTACATGGAAAGAAAACCATTATTCGAATTCGAATCAGGCTTATGAGCGGAACTCAATATTAGAATCGTGGGAACAAGATCAGCTATTTCATTTAGGAATATGTTACGAAACAGAAACTCCAAATGAGTCAAAACTGAAGTACTTGAAGTACTAAATACTTTTATGTTAAACCTTAGTGATATCGCTGGAACAACGAAAGATACTGGTCTCAGTTAAAATCTTGCCTTTAGAAGTCGCATAAATGAGCGCTAGAAACTAATATAATGCAAGCTAAGTTTCAGACGAAATAGTCCACCACCCGGTCGATGCAGTGATGGCACCGTCAATCCTGCAGACAATTATAACGATAGAAAAAAAATCGATCCTAAAGGAATATGGATGTGAATATGGAAATAGGAGCTCGCGGATCGTTGATTATTATTTCGCTTATTTCACAAAATAATGAGAGAGAGAGAGTTAGCCCAGATATTAATAGTAAACAACAAATGTTCGCATCTAATCTGGGTTGTAATCCTGCTGTGGCTGCGAAAACGTCTGTCTTTGACCATTCTTGCCTATGGCATAATTTACGTATCCGTGCCATAGTATCTCACCTTCGCTTCCACCTTCGCTTAGTTACAAAGCTTGCACATTAAACCATGCTGTTCGTCATCTGTCACAAGAATTGGTGCATATATCGCTGTTTGAACCATGTGATTTATCAAAAACCGAGAGAATCAGTCAAAGAACTTGGCTGGCATATTCAAGAAAGATTTTGAATGCAGAGGTGGCTCAGAGGCTTAGACAATGAAAAAAGGGGTGTAGTTGTTTTAGCCATCGGATTGAAGATTTACTCTAATTACTCTAATTACCAGTTAAGGGGCCAGTCAAACAAGCAAACTGTCAGAGCAGTGATGCACAATCATTTTTTTATTTTTAAAGTGCTAATAACCTCGTTTTTAATCGGCGGGATGTAAAGAAAAACTACGAATATTTCTTAAATAGTTCTCATTTATCTGCAGCCATCTTTGTCATATTATTTTATTATTTTCATCATTTATTTTACATTATATTCAATGATTTCTGTGGATAGATTTGTCATATTTCATCAATGAAAAAGCCTTTTACAAATATAATGTTTTAATTTTTTTTGGAGGAAATACTTGAGGGAAAAAAATTTTAGGAGATAATAGATTTAACTGAACATTTTATGAATATAGGTTTTTACAAGTAAAAATAATAAAAAAACAATATAATCCCATCTCCCAATAGTTATTTCAAGCTGCACTGTGGAGGGGTCGCATAATATTTCGCATCTTTAACTTTCATCTATAATTTATTTCTAACCGTATTTGCTAATATATGGTCTAAAATCAATCTTTGTATTATAAGGATTGCTAGTTGCTGCTTTCAGATGGGTAGTACTCCAACCAATAAAATTGCTATTAAAAAATTTTAGGGTTTTATGATTTTATGACTAAATTGACTCAAATTTTGGCCAAGTGTTACCAAAAAAAATCAAAACAGATTAAATAGAAATATAATGTAAAACGGATGATAAAAATATTAAAAGAGAAATTAAAAAATAAAAGCAAATAAATTCAAAATGAACACAAATCCTCAAAATACCTATTTATTCATAAAATATGAGAATCTTGACGCATTTTCACGATTGACGCAGTGAGAATATAAAATCAGATATGTGCAATGGACAATTTGGTACCGAATATCCTACTGAACAAATTTTAAACAGAATAGCTATATTAAGAATAAATCAATGAAAATGCTGGTCTTGATAGCAAATCGGCTATATCTACTTCTCTATTCACTGTGTCCAACTGTAAAATCGCGCCGGGATTCTTTTGGAAGACGATTTTTGTGGATGGATTTGTCGAATTTCAGTGAAAAAGCCAAATACAAGTGCTTCCAAATAAATATGAACAGACAACCGAGGTTCCTCAATTTTGGAAAAGATTCTGGAGGCACAAGTAGAGGTTTAATAAATTTCCTTTCTTGAATTTCGTCTTTAGTTTTTCATTAGAGTGTATATAAGTGAATTCTGAGTTCAAGTTGTACTGCTGGTTCAACCAAATTGTGTGAAACATCAAAAGGGTTTTTAACGGCACCAAAACAATCCGAAGATTATTCTTTAAATAATAATTTTAGTTTCTCGGTATAACCGATACTCAATTGCCCGTATTTTTGAAAAAAATAAAAATTGTCCGGCAACTTGTTGTCATTATAGCTAAAAATAAGTTGAATAGCGATGTTCGTATAAAAAGATGTTCTTCAGCGTGAAATTCAACGTGATGAACAAATCCGTTCGAGTTATTTTCAAAATTTTCATTTATATGATTTGAAACAAATATCAGTACTCAAATTTCATATAGCAATAAGGTAGATACACTCATGAAACATTCGTTCGCAAATCGCCATCTGTAAAATGCATTGAAGACGTTGTAATGAACCGAAACTAACTTTAACGCAATTTTTGATGCGTCAAATTATGATACGTTGAGCTGTTAATGATTGAATAGAGAACCAACTTTCTATCCTCTTTGCCAGAATATTTTTTTTTTATAATCTGAATGTTTGCTTCCAAAATGTCCTTTTCAAATGACTGTGATTCTTCTGGGCTCCCACGTTTGAATTGCAAATGATACATAGAACTTTGAGTAATGAAGCAGTATTTTTTTGTTCTCTCAGCTCGAAAAAATTCTATTTCTCTTCGATTTCCCTTTGATTTTTCATTTCTTAGGCAGAACAGAAGTATTTTTTTCGTAGTAAAAAAATTCAGAGGCAATATAGGCAATAAAACGTTGAAATAAATAATTTAAAATTTAAAATTAAAATTTAGAAGTTTGAAAAAGAAATTAAAATTCGACAAAAAAAAGAATAAAATTTGTAGGATTCTTTTCCCAAAGGTCCAGAAATCTGCGGGGAGGCGCAGAGGTTTTTAAAATGGGTTATGCGTCACTGTTAGAGGAATTGTGGTTAATATAAGGTTCCTTCTCTAGAAAAGAACTTGGGGTAGGTGCAGGTGCAGGAGCCCAGTATTTCCCAGTATTTCCTATTAGATTTCACTTTTGGTGACTAATTACTCCTACTGCTTGATTTTAGAAGGAGCAATCAGCAGCAAATAATAAAAAAACTTATCCATCAAGGTTTTTTTGCTAATTTTGTAATTTCCTACTTCCATTAATTATTTAATTCTTTGATTTCCTTAAATATATTTCCAAATTTCTTAGCGGTATGAAATTTACGAAAATCTCGAAATAATTAGATTCAAAAATGCATAAGACAAACGAGAAAGATGACAGCCTATAAAAAGAAACGTGGCTTGAAATAGTTTAAATTTAATGACGATCGCTCCTTTAGTTCGTATTGGTTTTGTGATAGTCGAACTTGATATAAATTTCCATTCAGGAACTTAAAATTAAAATCAGTTGGAAGAATAAAGATGGCTAAAATTATTAAATTATTAATAGAATATGAATGCAAAATGTTATATTATTGGTTATACAAAATATTATATTATTGGTTAATCGAAAAGTCAAAGAAAGATTTAAGCTTTCATTGAATCACTATCAAAACTGTTGGATAGTCCATCCATAATCCATAAAATCCAATAAAAAAATGAAAATAATTATCCACAGAAATAAATAAGATTCATAAGAATCATACGAAATAAGAATCATATTTAAGAAATTTCTGGTTTTAATATTAAAATTTTGTTCAACCTGATAAATAATGTAAAATAGTAGATCGTATAAGGAGAATTATCATTTGCGACCATTTGCGAACCCAACAATATATCCAGTACGAATCCATAAGCGATTCCTTGATCATTTTTACTACGTCATCATGGTATTTTCTACAATGTTATTTCTCTCGATCTATTAAAGCCAAAAAATAAAAAGTTAAAGACATGTATGAACATATATGACACTTTGTTCAGAAAAATCTATAAAAAGTAATCTGTATGTAGTCTGTCCATGCATAGATGTATGAACTTACGTATTTGTGGAAGGCAATTCTTGAAAACACAAACAAATTAGGTCAGACGTTGCAGCTGAACCTTCTTTCGATATAAAATTTACTATCCTTGCCAAACAGGATGACTGCTAAATGCATTCGAAAAACACTTGTAATGAAATAAAAAAGAAAAAATAGGGTAGAACTATCATCAGCCTTCTCTCTATCAAATTAAATGCGAACGAGATAATAATTCGTTCATTCATCTTACAGGAATGTACAGTGAGTGTGAGACTGGGATGCCATTCGAGATTGGAAAAAAGTGCCCGACGGCAGTAAAGAGAGGGAAATTAGTCAAGACTGGCATGTCATCAAGGCATATCAAACACAAGAACTAACTATGAATATCTTGATGTACCACAGATACCACAGTCACATGGAAACCATGATGAGAAGACGAGAAAGTCTACAACATCAAATCAAACATATTACCAAAGAATAAGATAGAGCTTGAAGAGCCAGTTCAAAGGGAAAATTAGAATCCATCCATGCCAATCATCATATATGCAACTGGCACAGTAAGATGGTCAAAGGAAGAGGCTGTCGATGTGAAGGCTTGGAAAATCCTCACAACATAGAAATTTTCATCCAAGTTTTATAACCAGTCGGAAAAAACACATTAAGTGCCAAAGACTGTCTCGAACGAAGGAATACATTCAGGAATACATCAGGAATAGCACAGTGGCACCAAAGGATTAGTTATTGAGAAAATGCCTAAGCATCTAAAAGTTATCTGCAGTTAATTCTACAGACAAATACTAAGCAGGAGATGTACTATGGCAAAATAAAACTCTCCATGGGATATAGCATTAACAAATAGCTGGCATTGAAAAATCCTACTAATGGTTGGAAAAAGCTGGTCTAAAACGCATTGAGGCATTGATCATAGCAGCAATAGCAACCACCAGATCCATGGAAGCAGGGACCTACCACACTAGACAGGACTCATGGTGCAGATGATATAAAAATACCCCAGTCCATATATTGGAACAATGATATAAAATGCAAGCAGGAACAGCATACACTGAAAGGCATAGCCAGGTAGCTGGCTACAAGAATATCCACTCAATTTATAGCTTATACCATCCTAAGACTAGATGGGAGATTCCACAGGAAATTGTGGACCATAATAAGATCAGAGAACCATGTAGGGTTTCTCGTTTCTCCATCCAGATAGACAAATAAGTATTGGTCAATCAACCAGCTAGTGGTAGCAAATAAGAATTAAAAACTAGCACTGGTGATAAAAATAGCTACACCAAGTGACAGGAGAAATATGAGAAGCTAGAGAAGTATCAATGGCTGAAAAAGGATTTAAGAGATGTGGAAAGTGAAGATCGAAATAATAGTGATTGTGGAAGCACCATTGGCTGTGACTCCTAAATATGAAAAGTGGCTCCAACAGATTCTAGAAATAACATCAGAGATCTTCGTCCAGAGGAGCGCACAGCCAGAAATAAGATAGTGTGGAACCCTCAACTTCCCAGGCCTCTAATATAGAACCAACGTTGAGGATGGCCCATATCATCCAAAGGCGGTGGGAAAGGGATTTTTTTTTATAAACCCAACTCAGGATGATGATACTTTTTGAAATAATTTCAGTGGAAAAGACTAAGGTTTAAGAAATGAAATGAAATTTAAGGAACTTCAAGGTGATTTCAAAATCAATAGCTTATCAATACAAACTAAGATGAAGTGTAATTCAATCAAATTTTTGAAATCAAATTGTGTAATTTACCCTTGAATCAACATTCCACGTTAGGCAAAATACCTTAATAGTTCCATCTGGAAGCAAATTTTTTAGAACATTCAACTGAGGTACTTGAACTCCTCCAGGACCAACAATTTTTATGCTGCAATATTAAATTGGTTTTAAATAATGTTATCATTCTTATACATAAAATAAATGCAAAATCTAAGAAATTTTAAGTTCAACAAATTGAACTCACTCATTGCTGAAGATATCAAATGCATTCAGTATAAAAGACTGATTTGCTAATGCTTGATCTATAATAACGTCTTGTCGGTCTTCAGCTGCATCGTTCTCAGCTTTAAATATTCATTATCCAATATTTATAGTTCAAGAAGCGAGGCAGGATTGTCGAGTGGTATATGGCGAGTTCATTTTGGGATTTTTGCTTCTTGGCGGAGTAAAACATGTTATTACATTGAAACCAAGGAGTGCTGAGGAAACTCTTATTTATATACCTCCAAGAAACTTTCTATAAGGATTCTAATCCTAATAATTAATGTAGGCGACATCGATTAACTGATTTGTTAATTTAGTTGGAATTTGGATATTTAACCGACGCCATTAGATTTCAAAATCTCTAATCCTCATTTTTGGCGAACGAAAAAAGTTTACGTTTGCTATTTCGACTTTTTTTTATTCTAAATCTCTTTTAGAGTAGTTTTTCTATTTAGCCTTTATTTGTTTCAATCCGTATCCTATAATCTCTTACGTACTGTGCGAGCTTTTAGTAGTTTTTCTCCTCAAATGTTTCAGTAATTGTTGCATCAGCGATGGGACGCGAGTGGTCGAACCCGTAAACGTGTGAGGAGTGAAGTTCTGTGATTTTTTGTTTAGTGGTCGTTGAATTATTATAACATAGATATGCGCCTAATGTAACAAGATTTTTGTTTTTGTGTATTGTTGTCAGCAATCAAAATTTAAGCCTAATTCTAAATGATTAAATTTTGCTTTTAACGCTTAAATTGTATGGTTATTTTATTTTTCATTTCTGTTTAATTTGAGACAACAGTCGCAATGAATAAATTGTCCCGTGCTGTCCCATGTGAATCGTGCGAGTGGCAGATATTTCTAATATAAAAGTCAGGTGAAGGATGTGGATTTATTCCTAAGACTTTATAAATCAATGCAGTCAGTCGAGCCAAAAATGATGAGTGCTCTTGAAAAGAAGTGGAAGTTCGGGAACTATTTTTTTCGCGGAAAAAATGGCATTAGTGACAACAGTTATTAATATTCGTGAAAGAGTATAGAGAACAACTAAATTAACCTGAAATTTTCAGCAAAATTTCATCATTGATTTTCGAATTCGTTGAGAATCTCCGAAGATTTGAGGCAAATGACTCGACTCGATGCACTGGACTAATTGGATCTGACTCGGTTGAATTCTCAGCATTTGTCTTTAAATTTTAAGTTTATAAATTGTAATAAATTTCGTTGATTTATTGTATGATTAAATTAATTAGATTTAGCTGCATTAGGTCTTCGCTTAATAGTTAATCAGCAAAGAAGCTTTGAGAAAACTGCAGCTGCAAGATAAAGTAAGTAAATGTTAGCGCTCATCGTTTCATTAGGCTAACTTTGCTGGAAAATTTACTGTTAGAACTGTTGCTTGTAAAGCATTTCCTGTTGTTTCTCTTTAATATTTCATAATGACAATAGATAACTTCAATCGTAAATCGCCTAAACCCTCGCAAAATTATTATCGCAGTTTCTCTTGATTTTTTTCACAGAGAGAAAACTTATAATTCAATTCAGTGGTGTAGCAAGCAATAAGAAAATTTTTACAACAGAAGAAAGAGAGAACGAACATGGAAATATGATCAGTGCAGTGAAGACTAAATAATAATATCGCATATGACAGGTTATTTCAATAACCCGCTTATGGTAGCAGTAAATGAAGGATTGGTGGATTGAATTATAAAAGATAAATTATAGTTAATCATTAAAACCTAAACTGATTGGCTTGGTTAGTAGTCAAAGTGAATGAAGTTCTAAATTCCACAGCAAATTTATAATGAGTCTCGAAAAAACAAAAAAAATTAATTCAAAAATTAATTCAAAAAAGAGTATAAAAATGTTTGAAGCAAGTAGGAAAATTAACGCAGAAAATCTTCGTCTAAATTTGTGAAATGGTTTTTCACTGATAGATTCTTTAATTGTCTTGGGAGGAGTATAGCTATAAGGTATACCGATCATTACTTCATGCATCCTGGTTCATTTCCAGTTGTTATTTGCATCCTCAAGTGACTCTCTGTGGAAAATCATATAATAAGCCGGGTCAGAAATTTAAAATTATACTGGATATAACTTATTATTAAAAAATGTTACAATCAATACCCAACGAAATGCTACCGTACCATCCCTTCTAATGCAGCTAAAATAGGGTTGCAGCCGTGGTAGGAGGGATGGAATGCAGAGTAAAGCTAAAAAGTTCTCTTACTTGCAATCAAACCCATATTTATCAACCACTCAGTCAAACGATTCACTTAATAGATTTAAGCTTTTGCCAAATATAACATCTTGGCCTTTTCAAAATGGCCTTTTCAAACTGTGATTGTTTTGAGCTCCCACGTTTGCAAATGATATATAGAACTTTGAGTAATGAAGCAATATTTTTCGTTCGCTCAGCTCAAAAAATTCTATTTCTCTTTGATTGCCCTTTGATTTTTTATTTTTTTCTCAATAAAAAGTTAATATGTAATGAAAATAGCAAAATAAATAATTTTGAAAAATTATAATTTGAAAAAAAATTTCCACAGAAACTTTTTCAAAAGTTCAAAAATTCATGGCAGGTCACCTGAAATTTTTAAAACACGCTGCGGATTTTGCATCACTGAACTATATCGTTCTGCAAGTATTATAAAGTAACCAACTAAATAGTCATAATAACTAATTTTTAATTAGACAGATAATTAGAAATCAACATTAAAAGTAAATTGTAAATCGGTTAATATAATGCCAAACAATTTGATTCTTTTCTTGATCTGCAGAACTCAAATCGTTGCGAATTGATTGAACTACCCGTGTTGCTAGCGATTTCTTGTTTGGAGTCTTGTGCATAGGCGTTTCAAATAATTGAAAACAATCTAGAAAAAGAGGCCACTATACTATTTTTATTTATGGTTCAATGGAATTAAAATCAGTCGCAGTAAATTTAAGGTAATGTAGTAAAAAACAAAGTTTATGCTAAAGGGTGATCGATGTATGCTGCTTCGACCATGAATTCAATCATCCTTACCTCCTTACCTCAGTGCCAGCAATCTCGCCATTAAAACTAAGACGGTACTAAGGAGCTATAAAAAAATTTTATCTCCATGTGACACGGCTAAATCGTTAGTTTGTAAAACCAAGCAGATAATTTACTTAATTTTTATCAAGAAAATAAATAATAAAACTTTTCAACGAAAATTTACAAATTAAGTGATCGCAGTGAATAATAAAATAAAATATAAAAATATGGCGCAAAAAAGTGGCTAAAGAAGCTGCGACGATGAGATCTCAGCTTTCTTCTGTATGTGGACATAGTAAGAAGGAATTAAAGCTTAGTATTATGCTGAACACATTTCTGTCACTATTGGCAACGAGAAATTTATTTAACATATTCAACATATTCATAAAATGAACATTCCTAATAACCTTATAAACTGCAAAATCAATAAGGAGAAGGGAGCGATTATTGTTTAGATTAGAGCATTCGAAAGATTTTAAACCTCGGTTATTTGAAGGTTAATTAAAAGCAAAACTTAATTTCCCGCAACGTGGCCAGAAATTCTTTCAAAATAATCATTTTTCGTTGAATTTCCTCGCACACTTCTAAGATTTATGATTTATAAAGGGATAAACCTGATTTATAGCAAAAAATTGTCGAAGCTCGCTTTGTACATAAAAAAATCTGTTGAAAATCGCAGATCTGTTGAAAAGATTGAATGGGAATAGAAGATAAAGGAATTCAATGAGGAATATTCCATTTTGCTTTTAAATAAAAAAGTAAGCTTCAAGTATTCTTTTACTTTACATTTCTTTACTTTACTCTTCATAGCAGCCTGATAGTGTGAAAAAACTTTAGTAAATTTTTTCTCTTTTCATAAAGCAAGCACAGAAATCTGAAATCCTCGGCATCACCAACTTATATTCCCAAATGTGATTCTCTAGCGAAGTGATTCACCTAAACACTTAGAGGAGCCAGTTAAGACAAAACTGAGTGACAGAAATAGAATTATTTCAGCGGATAAATGTCCACAGCCATGCGTAATCCTTGCATTTTATAAGTGTCATCATTACTTTTATAAATTACGGAAGCATTATATATGTTGGGATATACGAATCCATCAGAATCATGCACATCAATAATATAAAATAATATCACTGATTCTAAAAATAACCCTCCGGAAAGAAATTTTTCATCGTACTAATAACCAGTGGAACGCACATTTAACCACAAATGGTGACTAATCGTCTTCTTAATCTACATTTTAATTTTGCATCTTTGTATTAAAAATCGAAAAAACTTCAGCGAAAGAAAAAAACATTTTTTTGGTCTTAATTTAGCTTGAATCTCGAAGGAATGAGCATATATATATATATATTTATTTATTTATTTATTTATAAGAAATTATCAGCAATCGGAGAGAGAGGGAGAAAGGAGAGATGGATGGGTTGGGGGGTGGCGAAGAGGAGGAAAAAGACAAAAATTATCAAATCTGCTAGGATGGAATGCGCAAATCGATTTTCCTCTTCATTTATATGTACGTATATATGTATATAATATATACATAATATACATATGTATATGTATATGTGTATATATATATATATATATGCATATGCTCATTCTTTACATCCACATTGTTTGTTTTCATTATTGATGTGTTTCGGATAAAAGGATATCGGTGATAGGAATATTGGTTTTATTTTTTATTTCATGGGTCAGCGACTCATTTTTTGAGGACCCGCAGAAGGATTTTCTTTTTTTTGCATTAGGCGAATTGCTCTGATCATCACGTTTCGAGGACTTTCCAGTGTTCTCTCTGAAAATTTGGGAAATTTTCATTGATTTTCTTATAATTTCATTTCATGGTTTGTTCGTATATTTAAAATGCATTCTAGCTGCTCATCATTTTTGGTTTGGTTGATTGTTTTTTTGCCAGAGTCGGCTGGAGATCGACTGGAGATAGAAGTAGAAGTGCTTGCTTCTGATGGCACCTTCGTGCCGGTCTAAGGGCAAGCGATGGATAATTTGACGTCAGGCGAGATATTATATCGCTCAACATTCCATGTTTCTACATTGTGTTGAATATTTTCTTAATTGCTATAAATTATTTAATTGAGCCATTCAATCAACCACCTTTCATAATCACATGCGTTTCTTAACACAAATTATGTTCTTTAATTTAAGTTTTCTGAGCTGAACACACTCCGAATTTTGTTCGCATGCCTGAGAATCAATGATTCTATGGTTTTTTGTTAATGGATTTAAGGCATTTTGTGCTGTTATATGGAGTGTCGACAATTCAGATCATCTAGAATCAATCTTTTGCGTAATTAATACCGACATACGTGAAGAACCTAGAAATATCTTAGAGATAAATCGTAAAGAATTGTTATTTCTATTACAAAAATATTGAATCACTCTATTTTTACATTAATAGGTTAATGTAAATGGAGCGTAGAACGGCATTTGAGCGTGCCTTTGGCCGATTTAGTCTTGGAAGCTTTACCCTCAATGATCGCCGAATCTCCAGTAGTTCAGAATGGTCGTGGGCAAGGTTTGTTGGTAATCTATAAAACAATTTTCCTTCGCATCGTTTTTTTGATTGATTTTCAAATTTTTGGTAAATTTTTAACTTTTAGTACGACTGGAGAATTTTTATTGGCCATATAGCAATTCATTTGGTTTATTTCCTAAAATATCTCGAAGCCAACTTCTGGCAAAGAATATTTGAAAATTTACTCTTTTTTAGATTAGATAAATAAACATCCATCACCTGTAATATTTTACACTGTTTCTTATTAATCACTTATATTATATGAAATTGTCATGTTATCATCGATAAAATGATAAGATTAAGATTTCGAAATACGAGACCAGCAGCTGTTCGCAATCGTCGAATTACTTCGGATAGTGATAGGCCATGGACGCCAGTAACAAAATTGGGTCGTTTAGTTAAGGATAGAAAGGTCACAAGCATTGAAGAAATTTATTTACGTTCACTTCCTATTCAAGTAATTTTTGCACTTACATTTTTTATTCCATTTTTTATTTATTTTATTGAAAAATTTGATTTCTTGAAAAAAATTCTGACATTTTAAACATACCATTTAGTTTTATTTTCGGTTCCACCTAATTATTTATTTTATTTTGAAGATTTGAGAATATTTAACATATTTGCAAAGGACTAAAATATTTTTAATCATAAATTTATTTATTATAAGATAATATGATAATATAATTACCATGTTTTTAAGAAAAAAAAATTAAATACTCAGCACTCATCAATTCTGGTTGTGGCTTTAAGTGGGACGAGAAAATTGTCATGAAATTACCTGAGGGTAGTATTGAAATAGGATCCAGTGCACTACTCCGATTTTTTTTCATGATTTATGGTTTACACTGCAATGATTTTAATTTAATTTAATTATAAAAACATGTTGTAATTATAAAAACATTTTAATATATTATTTATACCTATGTTTGCTTGGTGTAAATCATAGTAATCAATGTGAAGTGGCGATCAAAAAATGCAATAAATATCCAGTCCTTACTAGAATAAGCCTTCAATTCTTGGTGTAGAAGTGATTCTACCCTCATATATATTTCTAGCAAAAAACTTTTATTTTTTCCATTCCTTTCCATACTGCCTTTCTATTAGGCAACGATAAATTATATATATATATATATATAATACGTATGTCACTATATATCAAACATCAGTTTTTTTTCAGGAATACCAAATCGTTGATTGTCTGTTACCAAATCTTCATGATAAAGTTTTGAAAATTTTACCTGTTCAGAAACATACAAGAGTTGGGCTACGAACTCGATTTAAAGCCTTTGTAGCAGTTGGTGATGCCAATGGTCATGTAGGACTCGGAGTTAAATGTGCTAAAGAAGTTGCGTCTGCTATTCGTGGTGCTATTTATAATGCTAAAATCGCTGTTATTCCAATTCGCCGAGCTTTCTGGGGAAAAAAGTTTGGCAATCCGCACACAATTCCTTGCAAAGTATTTTTTTAAATATACTTTTGGAGTGAAAAATTATGAATGTAACAAAAAAAAATAATTCAAAAATTATAGAGAGAAATAAATGAGGGATAAATATAAACTCAATAGATTCCTGGGAAAAAATGTTCATGAGAATTTTTTTCTGCAGCAGTCACCATTTTTAATTAGGCTTTCTCGGCTGGTTTGTCAAATTTGGACCATATTTTGCAAGGGAATTACTTGTTGATAGAGCAAGTGATTCACCGGTTCTACCTGGTTTTTTGAAATATATTCCCGTGAGTAGAATCCCAGCATCGTCATTTCCAAGCAGTAAGCAAATGAGCCATCGTGACCTCGAGGCATTTAGTGTGGTCATCCTTCTACTTTTTCTAATTTTATTGTTTGCCATTTCGTTCATTCTAATATTCATTCTGATGATTAAAAAATTTCTGTCCACAAACATTTCTGATTTTAACTTTCTTTCATGGCTATTATCGAAATTACGAAATTGGAATTATCACATTTGCTATTATTACAATTGCCTTTAAATGGCTCTCTGGCGAATAGTTCAAGCAGATCGCCCCTGGGTTGTGATTCCAACATGTATCCTTAACCTGGTGGTTTCTGCGATAAATGTGCGAACTGGGCTCGGATATATAAAATAACACTCGGACTCGGACGTGTAAGTTCTGGAGATAAAGGAAATGCTGACTTACATAAGAAAATGCATTGTACACATCGAGATCAGCCATATCTACCAGGAATGTCAAGATGCTTATGAATGTAAAAAGAGCAATAAACATCCGCATCCTATCCAAATATATGAATGTCTTATCCGATGTCCATTTTTTTGTTTATTTGGTCCGAATTTCTGATTCTGCAAACAGCGCAGTAAGAATATCTGAATCGAGTGCATTTTTTCCAAACGTAATCATGATTACGAGGATGTCCCACTATCTTCCACAGCATTAAGATCCGATGTGCCAACCGGAGGATGTCTTTTCTATTTTGCTGAGGGTCTTGGGTTTTTTACCACCAATTACTTTTAACATTGTAGAAGATCTAATTACTTGGAATTCGCCGGACCATCGACGTTAAAATCATATCCATTATTTTGATCAATCGCTTATGAAAAAATTTTGTACCGGATAGCCACGCATATTGCGAAGTTGAAATTAGCAATCTCCATAGCTCGACCACGTCAAGCCAAGATTCGAATGATATTGACAACGCTGAAAATAATTTTTTGATTTTTTGTAGTTAAGTTAAAAGAATCATAGACAGCCAACACATTTCAAGGTACTGAAGCTCGTAAAGGAAGAGAAAAACATTTTGAAGAACATCTGTGGGATCTGAGTACTGGTTCCAGTTAAAGTAGTTCCAGGAGTCAATTAAATCCGCTCGAGCACGCGATAATCAAAAAATTATTCCACCTATTTCACAAGGCAACCGGAGTTCGAGAGTTAAGGTTATCAGAGATCATCTCTTCAAACATATTTAGAGCCAACGCTTACAGCGATTTACCAGTCGAGTTCGATGAATCTTTGTAATTCAAAAGCTTAAGGCCAATAAAACCACCAGTGAAGCAAAATGGTCCTTCAAATTGCCAAGTGTTCCAAGCGTTCTTTGTAATTTGTGAAAATTATTTTCGCTGGTGTGAGAGTAGAAGCAAATGCTATGTGATGTATTTCTTAACAAAAAAAGAACGATAATAGGACGCATTACAATTGTAGAATTAGTCTGCTAAATGTTTTTGGGAAGGTTTTTGCGTCTTTTCTGCTCAATCGCTGAATATCATTGTATAACGCGTCCTGATCAAGCAGGATGTATTGTGCTGGCCAAATTTCCACGCTGAAAATGGTGATGGTATCGTTTCAAATATTGACAGCCTATCCCTACATCGATTCTGCTATTTAGTTCGATTGGTGGGAGCGACAATCTGGCAATTCATATAACTCGATGGTGTTTCAGAGAAAATCAGACTTATTAAAACATTTTATCTGCATGCATCAGTTCGAATATGTGTGCATTGGGAATTAATATATCATTCGAAATACTTGCGTTGTATCAAGGTTCCATTCTCTCTCTTAAAACTTTCAACTATGCGACAGATTTGCTTATGGATACGGCTTGTTAGTGTTCAAGAGATGTCTTCAGAGCATATCAGTAAATACTTGAATGCGCTGATAATGCAATTCTTTTCACTGGCGATAGCTAGGAATTGCAACAGATGCTAGATGTCAACAACAGAACAGCAGCGAAAATTGATCTTTAAATCAATGTAGATATGACGAAACTTTTTATTACACTTTGTATATACGAGACGTTGACAATTTATATTAATTCATCAAAGAAGTTTCTTAATCTTAAATGTCTTGGTTCCGCTCTCATGTTTGATAACCAAGCGATGTATGAAATTTCAGCCTGGATGTGGCTACAACCAGAGCTTCCTTTCGTCTGGTGAAATCTTTTTGAAATCGTCGCGAAATCAGCCTCAGGATGAAAGTTCGCATATACATTGCTATAATACGTTATTCTGCTAGATTATGGAACTTGGCCAATGAAAGTAAAAGATTTTAAAAAAGCTATCTAATTTTGACCATTCTTTCCTAAGGTGCATCCTATGTGGCTTGCAAAGGGGATGGAATCTTTCATAATTGTACCTACTTTCGCTCGAATATCATCTGCAATATCGTCACAATATCGTCATCTGCCATGTTTTAGTCATGTTCTTCGTTGTCCGCCAAAACCATTGACGTAGAAATTGAAACGATATCTCGTTATTTGTTGAACCCTATAATGAATGGCTTCAAAATCGAGAAGGGAATGGCTTCAGTTACTTTCAAGAATAGCGTTTGGTCTGGAAGCTTCATCTTACCCTAATCAATGAAGTGAGCCAAATCGTAATAGTGCAATCGTGATCGTAATCCTAATACTTACTAGTTGCATTACTACTAGATCGAATAAAATACCTCGCCAGAGAGCCAAATGAGGATTGTAGTTTAGGTGAATTTCCAATTTGTGAAAAATTAGGATATTTATCGTAAATTCCGACTTATAATTCATTTATAGCGCATTCTTCTTGCTGGTAACATTGTGGTAATAAAACTAAGCAGAGTGATGCGAATTCATTTGAATTTCAATTAATTCAATGAATATTTTAGATATATGGTACTTTTGATGATGTGGAAGTTCGAATATTTCCTGCGCCTCGTGGAAGTGGCATAAATGCTTCATCTTTAGCAAAATATTTATTGCTACTTGGAGGCATTGAAGATTGCTTTACGATGGCTACAAATTTTTTAAAACCTGGACCATTAGTTCAGGCCACATTTAATGCGATGCAAAAAACTTATTATTTTATTGATAATAATGAAAATAAGAATTTAAATGATAATTCAGAACGAGAAAGTCGAATGCAATGGGAATTTCTTAAAAGAAAGCTCATTAAAACTCATTAATTGTTTAATTCGAATTAGTTAACCAAATATGACTTTGTTGGATCAGAAAGCGCGAAAATAAAGGAATGAGGAATTCATAATACGCGATCTTGAGTTGATCTTGAGTTGCAGAGATCCACTGACTTCTTGTATCCTTGCATTTTCTTTCGATCTCTTCACTATTATATTTAAGATTATTATTATTAGTTTAAAATTTCATATTTCATTCGTTTTTAGTGCAATGTTTTTTTTTTGATGGATTGATAGCAGTAAAATTTTGCAAAAATTTGAAGAAAAAATTGTCATACAAAAACTAAAATTCAAAACTAAAATTAGACTAAACTAAAACTGTGCGAATTCAATATAATCGATATAATATTTTAATTTTTTATTGAATATTATTTCACCACAAAGGGAAAGGTCGATCGAGTGGTATTTGTTTCGAGTAAGGTTAGGCCACATCAGTTCGATCGCGGTTCTCGCCATTTGATAAGAGTGAACCTATCATTGAGTATTGCCAACCGCCCGTTTGTACTTCCACCTATTCTACAAATGACTCTCATTCGTTGCAACTAATGAAGGCAACAAACCATTTATAATGCTCACTACATCGTCGTATAAGAATTTAATTAATTACGACCGACAAGCCAATGTTTATGGAATTTTAAAAATTAATCTAGAATGAGGAGAATAAAAAGATTAGTCTTATCAGTGATTAAACTCATTCCGCTGGCTTTACGGTTAAATTTTTGCCAGTGAATCACTAGAAATGAGTCGCCAGCACCATCCGGAAAATTGATAGGGTTTTTTCTGCCGGAAATAACTCGAATTTCAATTCTTACATCTCCACCCAGCATCACTGAGAAATAAAACCTAGAGGCACACTTTTTTTAAGATTTTACTGAAATTTTTTCGTTCACACATTGAATATTTACTGGATGAATTCATTTTATGGCTTTTTTCTGGGAAAAAGACTGTTCCCACAAACTCAGTTTTGTCCACTTGGAAAAATTTTTCAGGAAGAACTTAACTGCTTCCTTTAATGCATTTTTAAAATAATCCTAAACTAGCATATTTTTATGACAATAATAATAATAAAATAATAAATAGCAAAGATGTCAAAAAATATGCTGTTTCTATTAACGTGGAGCACTATGGTAATACAAAAGTTGAAAACCTTAAACAATCTGATAAGTGATAACTGATAAGAAATTCAATTTATCGATTTCTTTTGGTGCATTTTCTATTAGATGCAATAAGAAATTATCACGATTTCCTCCTATTCGCTAATCGTTGTAAAAATGACTAAAAAAAAGAAAATTCTAGATTATCCGCCATAAAATAAGCTTATTGCTGACCACACGTTCGACCATCCGCAGTTCACGACCAACCGACCAACGCTTAAATGCAACCCGAGCGCTAATGCAAATGATGCGACGTTCTGGATCGTCTGCATTTCATTGCTTCAATCAATTTTCAGCCACCCATTTTGGTATTTTCTAATTTGCAGCCTTTCTGCATTTTTGTGCTAGCGTGTCGATCGAAAGGTGTGCATGTTTTGGTTTTGTTGTTTCAAACGTGGGGAGAGCGAGCCATTCGGCAGCGTTCGAGCGCCGTTTACTTGCCTTTTTTCTTCGTGTTAGAGCATTTCCACAGTTCTTTCCTCGCCATTAGGCGAGCTTCGCTGGCTGTTAAGGTAAGACGTTTCCAAACTGCGCGATCTGACGCCATTGTCGACCATTCCTTTTTCCGTCGTCCAAGTTCAGCTACTCCGCCTATATATGCTTACATCTTTCCTGGCCGTATCAGTCCAGGCACTGATTGCTCCACCTCATTCTGGTACCACACATCACAGAGTTTAGCAGGCAACGAAATATGTCAACTCTTGTGGTGGGCGACGAAGAACGAGCCCTGAATCACCGAAGGCGACGCTCTGTGTTGGTACTGTTACTGCTATGTTTCTAATGCCAATTTTTGTCTCGCAGTTATTTCCGTAGTATTCATCTCGTTTATTCTTCAAAAAAAAAGTAAAAAAAATAGTTGTTATGATATATAGCCAAAGAGGACTTTGCACTTTCTCGTACCAATTTGTCACCAGTAATTTCGTAAAATCAATTAACTGAGGAGCAACAAATAAAAATTTAGAACTTTATTTAGAATTGGTTCTAAATATTAGATGAATTAGTGTTTTGATTCGAGTAAACCTTGTTAATATTAAATATATAATCATTAAATTTCAATATTGAAAGTGATCTGCTGAATTCATTTCTATATTGTCTGCAAATTACTTTCGGTTAAAAGGACAGCAGTAGTCAAAAGAAGCCAACTAACCAGAAATGGTGAGTGGTGCTGGAAGAAGGAAGTTAGCCAAGTGAAAAAGTTTGATAATTAAAACAATTTGGATTTGTCCGCAATTTTTTGTTATTTTAATCAATAAGTAAATTTGTAAATGCATTTTTTTTAGTTTTCAAATTGATTTTAATAATTTTCAGTCTAAATGAAATAATTTTCTCAATAAATATTCGAAGAATTGTTGGTAATTCAGTAAAACACTTGTGAGTTATTTTTTTTTCTGTTTTATTTTCCTTTTCGTTATTTTTTTAACGTTTTTTTCGCATTCAAAGGAACTCTTTTTTTGCTTGTTCTTCGAATAAATTTTTTTTTTCAAATTTGTTGTTTTTTCAAATTTCTTTTAAATTTTAATTAATTTTTAAGTTGTATTTTATATTGTAATTTAGATTTTGTTTTTTATTTATTTATTTTTGGACTGATTTCTTTAATTTTCGATTTTTTGAGTTTATTTTTATGGTTTTAATTGATCTGCTTTTAATTAATCTAATTTATTCATTTTATTATGTTATAATTATGTTATATTATGTTATAATTAAAATTCAGTAAATATATTTGACAAAGATTTAAAGCTTAATTTGTTAATTGAATTGATCATGAATTAAAAGCTGAACTCAATAATATAAGAATTGAGAATCGTAAGTTGCGAAAATAATTAGTAATGAGAAACAGGATTGCCGAGTGGTTGTTGCTGGGACATGGTCCTGATCATGTCTCTGATAGGAATAAATTTGCCTTTAAAAAGTTTTATGGTGACCTATTTGCACTTCTTTTCCCAGTCGATCAAAAATTTCTCTCCGTATTAAAATCGAATGGAGCGAACCTCACGGTAAATGACGATTTTTTTTTGTTAATGAAAATGATAAATGAGAATGAGAATAGCTGACTTTATCACTGATATTTACAGTGATACTCTATCTTTAAATTTATTTATAAATTTATAAAAATTTAAATTTATAAAAATTTTTAATTTGTTTTTTTAATGTTTGATTCGTTTGATGTATGGAAGTTCGTTAAATTTTTAAGGAAATTGTAAATTCAAATTGTAAATGATGGAAATATCGAATGAATTCAGAAATGCAAAAAATTGATAAATTGACTTCAAGCGACGTTTTAACTATGTCGGCAGTTGAGAGTATTCCAGTGGATGAAGGTGAGCTATATTTATCAATGAATGATAATAATATTGATTCGAATGAAATGGTTAATTTTAAAGTTTTTTCTACTCCATCAACTAGCGATTCCGAAACGAATAAGCATTGTAAACTGCCATCATCAACACAAAACCGACGAAAACAAGAGAATTCTCCACTTTCTTCTCCAAAGCATTTGTCACCTATAAATGATAAGTCGGCATTTAACGATGTCATATCTGATCAAGAAGTTCCCACTCCCCCTCCATCACCTAGTGCTTCTAGAAGTGCTCTTCAAAAGTCCAGGTATTTCTTCATTTTTCATTTTATCAAGGAATTCTTGCAAAGATAATAGGATGATTTTTTAATATTTTATTTTTATTGAGAGATTCTTGTTAAATACAGGAAAAAATGATTTAAAGTTTCGAAATTGTGGATGTAATTTTATATTAATTTTATATAATTTTACAGTTGCGAAATTTTGCTAAAAATTATGCTTTCACATAGAACGTGTTAATTTTTTGAATAGCAGTGGTGAAATAAAAATTTTCAGCGTATTTTCATTGTCACAAGTATCTGTTAAACTTTTTGAATTATGGTCAAGTGCAAGGGAAAGAGTATTCGGAGAAGATTATTGGATACCATCTGATGTTTTTGAGGTTCGGTGAAATTTACCTCTTTCATTTTAAACTGAATGATCAAGCATTGATATTTTATTTCTTTAAATTAGGAATAAAGTTTTTAGTTGAATTTTTTCATATTTTTAGGTAGTGCCAGTGCCAAATGAAGCGCTTATAACTCATTCCACAGTTTACCCTATTGGAGAAAAATTCAGTTGTTTGCGTGTTGTACGAGGTGTGCTTAAAAGTCGATCTGATATACCTCTTTTTCATGTTTTTTTCTCCAATAACAATGGTTCCATTCATTCAAGTCAAAATACACTGAGTATATTTCGTTCGAATGATCACCAAGAAGCAATTGATCTTTGTAATAGATGCTGCGATTGCAAAGCTTTATTTACATTATTAGGCTAGTTTTTTGTTAGTTTTTTAGTTTTTTCTTATTGTATTGGACACAAGTTGATTTTGCTAATCGATTATTTTTTATTTTGTAGTTTATGCAGTTGTGTTCTGTATCCTAATTTTCATTCAATTTCTCAGTTTTTTATTGCTATTCATCGATTTTTTGAATAGGAAAAAAGGCACTGCAGTAGTTTCTGCATATTTTTTACATTTATATTTGATTTTTACCAGTTTTTTTAAAATGATTAGCTCTCAACAGAATTATTTTTGTTTGAATTTGAGCTGGAAATATTTTTTGTTTGAAGTTCTTTTAAAATTTTTTCTCATTGTTAAAATTTTTTACTAGTTTCTTTTTTCATGATTTCAGACCAAAAAATCGATCAAAGGAAAACAGTATGTGAATTGGTTAATGCGTTGCGATTGCATCCTTTGTGGCATATTGTTCCCGTCGCCATCGCAACAAATCGTATTGATTTTTTTTCAGAGAAAAATGTCAAAAACTTCCAAGTGAAACATGAACAATATTTTAACACGTATGTATGGAAATTTTTGGTGATAACTGTTAAACATTGTTGATTTAGTACCTTTGAGAAGACAGAGGTGGCAGCATGGTTGGTTTGGCTTGTGCTGAGTTACAGATTCGATTTCCCTGATAGGAGTAAATATTTTAGTGAAAAATCCAGGCGATTTTAGCTACCCATCTGTCGCCAGATGACCCTTCGACAAATATTTCTAAATGTATTGATAGTTCGCGACGCTAGCATAAATGTTGTTAATCAGTTCTAATCATTTTTTTACTATTGATAATAAAAAATAAACATATGCTAATGATTTTTTGTTTTAGACTTTTTTGATTTTTTCAGAATGCTCCATGTGGCTATTCAACCAGAGGGACGTTATCCGTTGATGTTAGCGATCGAAATGCATCGTACCGAAATTGTCCGTAGACTTTTGGAATTGCATGCGGATCCATCATCCATCGATATTAATGGCAATAATTCAATGCATTATGCTGCACTTGCTTCAGTGCAAATGATTGAGGTTTCTTTCTTCACCAATTATTAGGTTAAATTTGTTGCGAAACTTCATATAAGTTTACATTAGTGTAATTAATGGTTTTAGAATATGAACCCCCTAACAATAGAATATATTAGCATCATTACAAAATAAAGGTGGAGGCAATGATATCAACGAGTGGTGATAATGATATAGAGACATTAATAATTATAATTTAATAATTAAGAAAGACATATAGAACAATACGGAAGAACCGAGCTATAAATAAACACATTCAATTCAAGTCATTTGACCTCAACAAACCAAAAGGAACTTTATTACAATAAAAGCATGGTAACAAGTGCACCATATATTGATCATTAGAAAATTTTTTATTGTCATTAAATAATTTATTTAAATTATCATTGTTAATATCATTGTTAATAATTAAACGTTAGACGATTGTTTTTAAAAATACCAAGAAAATTGTTTTTTATGAATTATATGGAAATTTTAGTTGTTGTGGGAATTCCAAAGTGCTCATTCACTTTTGAATTTAACAAATCATGATGGTTACACGCCTGTTTTACTGGCAATACGAAATGCTAATCCACGTTGTGTTTCGGCATTAATATCTCATGGCGCCGAAATTAATATTAGAGTTGCTGGTAGAACGCCATTATTCGAAGCTATGCAAAGCAAAGGAAAATCCGTTGAGTTAGTCGATGTTTTAAAATTTAGTTTTTTGCTGTTTTTTATGGAGTGCACTGAAATTTAGAATGGAATGTTTGCTAAATCTCTGGTGGTATCTTTTACAAGGGGAAGGATGAGTAGCGGACCGGTGAAATGAGAATTTATTTATAGAGAAAAAACCCTTCCACTTTCCAAACCAACTGAATTGTTATTTGTCAGTTGGTATTTCACGGTGGATATATTAATCGAATAAAAGTTTATTGGTGCATTTGATTTTTCTAAATTTGCTTCGGTACATTTTTAAATTTGGCTTTATATTCGTATTGTAGCACCAAAGTTCATTCCTTTTTTCCTATAAATTTATGTCACAGAATACACCATTCAAGATATGCACTTTTTTTTAGAGTTTTTTTTAGAGTAATTCGCACACTTTTACAAGCTTCACCGAATTTAATTAAAGAAATAGAACCGGCTACTGGTAATACAGTTCTTCATGCAGCTCAGTTCAAAGCACCTCTTGTTGGACTTTTACATTTGAAGCATGAGGAGCTCGATTTAAATGCTCGTAATAATGCTGGACAAGCTCCAATTCATCTGTATGCTAGTAAAGGCGATATTGGTTTGTTGATCAATTAATTAAAATATATAATATGCAATTATTGGAACTTTAAAGATTTCGTTAAGATTTGTTGATAATGATTCCCTTGTTTTGCATGGTAGGAATTCCTGATTTGAAAACTGATTTTAAAAATTTATGAATTATTTGAAACTTTGCCTCTTCATCAGTTGATATTTCATCCTGAATAAATTAATCAAATAAAAGTTTATCAATTGAATCAATTCGCCTAAATTCAATTTCGGTATATTAGTTTAAGTTTAGCATTCACTTATTCACAAAATTCATTTTTTTTTTTCCAGTTGGTTGAATATAACTGTGAAATTGTTTGTTGGGCATGTGGAGTTTTTAAAGAAAAAATTTCTTTTATTATTAAAAAGAAATGAAAATTTTCAGGTTTGGTCATGACTCTAGCTTCATATAACTGTGATTTGAATATAGCAGATCAGAGTGGGGATACTGCACTCCACATGGCTGTATCACGATGTGATTTGCAAATGACTAGATTACTTCTTTGTCTTGGTGCTGATCCAAATCTAAAAAATAAGCATGGTGATACTCCTAGACATCTAGCATCAAAGCTACGACAGTATGTTACATATATTTATATATTTATATTATATATTTATTTTCATAATAATAATATTATTATTTTCATAATTTATAATAATATTATTATATTATAATATATTTATTTTTTTAATTAATTTCTTTAATTCATTCATTCATTTAATTCATTCATTTAATTAATTTCTTAAATTAATGAATTTCTTCAATTAAGCAAATCGCCAAGGTTTTAAGAAATTTGCAGTTTTATGAAAATCACTATAATTTATTTCAGAAGTCTCATAAAAAGTTGCATGAAACTGAATTGATCGGAATATGATAAAATTTTGTTCAAACTAAAAATATTCTTTTCATACTTTCACATCATTTTGTATATTATTTAAAGGATTGATTTGGTGAAAAGTTTGGCAATTTGTGGTGCCAAGCGTTGCGATGAAGATTCGAAAACTGGCTGTGTTTCTGGATGTGTCAATACAAAAAAATTGGATAAAATTAAGGATTCACCAGCAAATTTGAATGGCTCTGAACTTCCAACTTCTCGATCATCTATATATTTCGACGATTTAAATGGATCAAATAAATCTTCAATTACCAATCCAATCTCTGAATTCAAACAAATGGTTTTTTATCTTTCCATTTCAATTTTCATATTTTATTCACTTCAATAATCTTTTTTTGTTTATTTTCGAAATCTCAATTCGATGAATTTAGTTCTGCTATGATGGAATATTACAAAAACTTGAAGAAATGGCTTTGCGTAAAGAATCGCCAGATTTTGTTAACCTGCTCTCATTAGATGGTGGTGGTATTCGAGGGCTTGTTATTATTCAAGTAAATTTTTTTAAATTTAAAAAATTTAGATTTTTTAGAAAATTAAGAAATTAGATAAAATCCATTTTTAACATCTGTATTTTATTAATCTTTGAAAAAACTGATTTTTAAAAATATTTTATGATTTTCATCAGGTTTTTTTAATATTATTTTTTAGAAATGAATTTTATAATTTATATTTTATTCATTCTTTTAAATTCTATAATTTATAAAATTTTATTGAAGTAAATTTTAAGTTTACGTAAAGTAAATACCTTTTTTGAAAAATTCATCAAAGATATAAGGAAGTAAATTTTAATATTTGCTTCAGGTACTGATTGAACTGGAAAAAGTTTTAGGCGAGCCTTGCTTCCCTTACTTTGATATGGTTGCTGGCACCTCAACTGGAGGAATAATCGTTGCTGGTTTAGCTCAAGGTTTATTATTTCATCTTCAAACTTCAATTATTGGCTATTATTATCTTTATTTTTCATTGAGTAATTCATCATTAATTATATCAGTAATTCATCATTTTGTCTATTATATAAATAATCCCTTTGCATGATCTGCGAAAAAAATGGTATTTTTTACTGCAATTTTAGGCCGGTCGTTGCGTGAATGTCAAAAGATTTATTTACGATTAAAAGATCTTATATTTGATAGTTGGACTAGACCTTATAATACAGCTCAATTGGAGCTTTTTATGCAAAATGAATTGGGAACACAGACAACTTTAGCAGATATTCGTTGGCCGAGGTTAAACCGTTGAACTATATATAATCTCTGGTTTTCACAAATTTTTTTTATTTTCATTAGAAATTCAATTTAATTTTTTTGGTTCTCCTCTAAATTAAATGTATTTTTGTATGATATGTATCATATATCTTTTGTATCATATGTATTTTTAGAATTATGATGACAACAGTTCGTGCCGATATTTTTCCGTGCCGTTTAGAATTAATTAGAAATTTTCGTCTCCCTCTAAGTGATGAAGAAAACGGAAAACTTGGATATGTCGATCCATCAAGTAGGCTATATTAAATTTATTTTGCCACAGGACCTCTGATTATTTTTCTCATATAATTATTAGCAAAATCGATATTTCTTTAATTTTTCATTTATTTAATTGTTCTTTTAATTTGAATTTGGTTTTTATTTTTGTTTTTTCGAATTTTACTATTTTTATATTTTCGACTTGGTTATTTTCTTAAGTTTCATTTATTTAGGTATATCATTATGGAAAGCGTTGCGGAGAACATCAGCGGCGCCTACTTACTTCGCATCTGTTGATAACAAATATATTGATGGTGGCATAATTGCTAATAATCCCACAATTGATCTCCTATCAGAGCTCGAATTTTGGAATACGGCAAAACATTATATGGTTTTCGCTAAAATTTTTCTGATCGTAAATAAATGATACAATTTTTTATTATACAGCAAACTATTTGCTAAATTTTCATTTCATTTTATTATTTAATCTATCTAACTAGCCATTTTGACATTCTTTTTGCTTGTTTTGGAATTTGAAAAACCTTTTATTTAAATCTAGAGCTGCTGTATTTATATTGATCTCTTTAATTTTTATCGTGGCAAAATTAGAAAAAAAACTCCAGATGGCCTTAAAATTGGTCATGTAGAAATTTGTTTCTTTAATATTCACTGTTGTTCTTCTAAATTCTTTCTACTTTGATTTAAATTTTTTAAAATTATTATAATCTTAAAAATCTTTTGCTATTTACTTTATGTGATATGCAACACTCTTTAGCATTTTTTTTATGTAAAACATTTAGACGTTATCAACTGCAAATGATGTGAAAATCGGTTGTGTTTTAAGTGTTGGAACTGGAACCATACCTGTCGTCCCTATGGACACCGCAAATCTTGAAATATCTTCTAATCCTTACTCATCAGCCGTTGCCATAAAAAATCTTGGGACTATTCTTGTTGAACAAGTTCATTTTTATTATTATTGCCTAATAATTTTGTTGCTTACGACAAATTTTCTGCTTCTAATCATTTAATGATGGCTTTGCATTTCAGGTTACTGCTACTGAAGGAGTGCCAGTAGAGCGTTCACGAGCATGGTGCCATAAAATAGGAGTCCCATTCTTTCGCCTTTCTGCTCCTATTTTCAAGAACGTTGCCATGGATTCTAAAGATGATTTTGAAATAGCTCGTATAATGTGGGATTGCATAGAATATGCTAGTGTTATGCAAAGCGAATTTGAAAAGATTTCATTTTTACTAAAAAAGGTTTTCTGGTTTTTTTCTGAAGCCTTGAGATTTTGAAAAATCTTTCAAGCCCTTAAATTGTGAAAATTTATTTAATTTATGCAGTATAGCTTGGTCGTATTTCACTTTTGCTTTATTTGATTATCTTTTTTAAACTTTATGGAATGAAAATCATTATAAAACCAAAATTTAATTCATATTTGTCGATTTTTCTTTTAAAATTATTAAGAGAAAATTGGAAAAAGTGTTTAATATTTCAGCTTGGTCATGCTTGGCATAGACGTCATTTGTTCGAAACGCAAAGAATTGGAAATGATGTGCAGACACAAACATAAGCGTTTAGTGGCCTTTGGATAGGAAAAATTTATCCCCAAAGTTCAAATTTACTTACCCATATGTCTTTTTTTCTCTATCTTCATTTAGCTTTACTATACTATTTTTAAAGTTTTTAATATTTTTTAAATTGGCATTTCACAGTTCACTTTCACTTTCTATTATAAAATTAGAAATTGTTAATCGTTTTATATTTTTATGCAGTTTGACAGAATTCGTTATGAATTGTAATTATGAGAATTTCAGGTATCTCATTTTTTTTCATTATTCTTTTTCTGTTGTTTAGCTTAGTTTATTTCTATTTTTATTTTGTTAATATTTTTATTTTTATTATTACACTATTCTTCCTTGTAGTTTATCTATATTCCGAAACCTAATAATGCAATTAATGCTTATTAATGCAATTTAGTTTACAATAAAATATAAAAATAAAAGTTTCTTCTTATCACTTCCTTAGAAACTTATTAAATTGCGAGGGAAATGTTGAAAAATCCTTCTGAAAGATATTGTCAACTTTGTGAAATCAAATTGCTAATTTTTTTTGGTATTTATATTTTTTTATTTTTTGCTTTTTTTATTTTTTATTTTTATTTTAGCTTGTAAATATCATATGTTTACAATATGTACAATATGCTTCATTTTTTCTGTTATTCTTTGTTTACTTTTTTGAACTATTGAAATGAATCAAATAAGTTTAGGAAAATCCAAAATCTGAGAGATGAATTATGGACATTTTTGATAATATGGCTGTATTTTCATTTGTTGTGCAGCACCATTGTTTAAATGTTTTTGGTTTATATTGTTCCTTACGATTTAAGGGACAAGGTCTATGTCTATGATTTTTTTTTTTCTGTTGTTCTCATAAAATATTTTTATTAATAATAAATACCAAGTACAATATTTTTGTATACTTCTATAGTTTTCTTCGATTAATTTTCAGAAAATATTTTGCTTTGCTACAAATTTCCAATTACTATTTTAAATTGTTGCTAAATAATGGTGCTAATCGGAAGTAAACGGAAAATACAGATCGGATCGCTCCAGTACAATATTCCTTGTAAACTGCTAAAAAAACGTTTGCGCTAGCATTTGCATTGATATCGAAGGCTATAAAACAACAATTCTTAATGAATTCATTAGAAGATGTATTATAACATCGTAGAAAATGAATGGTGATTTCTTTTGAAAAAATATAGGTTTTCGGTCCTAATTATATGGTTCATTGCTTGAAAAATTTAAAATTTCGGAAATAATGGTAATTGGATCCAATTCTTTTAAATCCTGATTCTTTTAAAGTGTTTTCAATTACTGGTTAAACTCGGTCTGCTAGCTTGTAACGCTGGACAAATGTGGGGTCCCTTGGTGATAAAAATAAAACAAGTGAGTGGGTCGCCAGCATCACCCGACAGGTTTATTCCTACGAATAAAACCTTAGTACTAAACCTTAGTACTGGTGCTTCGAATTGAGCAACAATCCACCAAGCCATCCTATCCCCAGTCCTGATTGTATGATAATTTGATAACAAAAGATAATACTTTAAAAATTAAAGTTGGAACGATATCAATTAAAATCATTTCCATTGTAAATGCAGCACTTTGAATTTTCACACCATTTATCACCAACTTTATGTTATTGTAAGAGTTTCGTTGCTTATCCGACAAGAAATTATAGCAAAAAGAATCATTTTTTTGATTGTTGTGTTGCGTGCAATGTTAGGAAATAAAGGGAAATGTGAAATAATGTATAATTTATTATTAGTTCGATGAAAATCTAACAAATGCAACTGAGAAAGAAGAAAGTTTCTTGTGAATAAATAATTTTTCTTTATTTTCAAATTTAGCTTAAATTTTCCAAATCCATCTTACCAATGGCTATCATTCGTTGTTAGTGCTAACCGCATTTTAATGCTACTTAAAATTATAATTGTATTTAATTATTGGACCAATAATAATAAACATCGTAATAAATCACCGTATAAGAATACTTTTGCACTAAAATGCACTTTTTTCTAGGAGAAATCCGGCTAATAATAAGTTTTGGCGAAGCCGACGTCGTATATTATTTATTCGACGGGTGAACCTGACCAGCAGTACTTATATGTCGTAACTGTGCTGTTTTTAGAACATTGCGGAGATTAACATAAACGTAGTGTTTGTTTCTGTAGCGAAAATAAGCGTAAGAGTGGAGAAGGAACATGGCAAAGCACAATATCAAGACAGCTGCAAAAGAGCGATAACTGCAAAGACGGCCCGAATGGTTGTCGCAGTGGCTGTGGTCTTGGTGTCATTTGCTACGCATGACTTATTTTTGTCCATCTGTTCAATTGCGGTCAAACAGGTCGGCTTTCTTTTATTTCTTTTTAATGGTCTCTGGCCAATCACAAAGTCCAGTTTTTGCACAGAATCTGCTGACAAATACGTACCAGCTTACTTTTTGAACAAAAATTGTTTGAGGTAATGAGAAGTAACCTTCATAACAAAGAACTTCGCGGTTTATATTGCAGCAAAGGCTCTCAACTGTTCGAGGATTCTCGATTTTAGATTCCAAGTAGGGAATCAATCAGTGAGCGTTTAAGAGCATATAGACAATCTTTCCAATCGGTAGGCCATCGCTAGGATGGAATTTCGTTTTAATTTAACTTAACCTGTGGTGGGAAGGGTGCATGGTGTAAAGAAGGTTGAAAAATTAATTATTTCACAGTCATTAGGCTCCTTTATTGCCCTCATTTAATTTACGTTAAAAAATCAGGAATTTCATATCATCTAATAATGAATGAAAAATTTTATTTTTAAAAGCGTAAGGAGCGCTTTTTTCTAAGGATGCTTGCCGTTTCTGGATGACTCGTCGGGCAAATTTTGCCAGGGATTCATTCGGCAATAGCGCTAAGTTGCAATCGTTATCATCTGGATTTACCTGGATTTTTTGAAAGAAAAATTTATTTCTGCCGAGGGTGGAATTCTACCATCGGCTCATAAATGAGAACAACGACTCACTGAGCTATTCTAATCCCGAAGGTGATTACGGCTGTTTCAACTGATATTTGTGAATGTAACAAACCAAAAAATAATCTCAGCTATTTAAAGCATAAAGAAATGTATAGTTTAGAATAGCGAATTGATGTCAAAATTGATTTTCACGAGATTTTAGTCTGTGCATTTATGTTGCTGCCAGGCGTTTATCAAGGAGGATTTTATTCTTTGAGTATTCAGAATAATTGGATGCCCAAAAATCTAACAATTTCTATATGAGATATGGAACAGCAAATCGCGAATTTTTTAAAATTAAAATTTTAAAATTTTTTAAAATTAAAATTATGTTCCAAAATTTTTCATTAAAAAAATTATTTCTATCATGCAATATTGTAGATAAGCGATATGCCAGAAATTTGCTGAAAACTGCAAGAATTTTTTGAGAACGGAACATAAAAAAACAAAAATTTTTGAAAAAATCATCCAAACTAATCATATTTTACAATGCAGTTTGGTGCTTTTATGCTGTGACCTTTGGTGAACATAAGATTTATGACAATAAAAATGGTGTAGTTGCCGGTGAAAAGGATCAAATGTAGAGGACGATGGAGTAGCTGACCTTCCCGACTAATGATAAATGGCATTGAGAAGTTATCCTGGTAATATGGACCAGGTAATATGTTGTTTTGCTGGTGAATATGGCCATAAGATGGTAAAAGTTTTTGTAATTCTTTAAGAAAAAATCGCAGTTTTATTATTTTCCTATTACGAAATTAATCTCCTTTCTTTCGCCAAATGCGTTCTTATTCATTTCTCATGTATTTTTCATGGATCCGTTATTCATATTGATTTTTACTTTTGCCGATATTTGAAAATATATCAAAAATGTGTTTGCCAGATTATTGCTGTGTTTATTTATTTGACTTGGGTATTTTATTCAAATAGATTTAATGTTTCTCAAATTATATGGGAAAATTAGTTGAAGAAATCATAGAATTTTCGCTAAACAACAGTCTTACTCGCATTCGATATGACTTATTTCACTCCATCCAATTTGCGTTAGATTATTAGGTTAAAGCGAGTCGAGTGGTGGTTGAGTGTAGAAAGTGAGTGGCAGTTCAAGCAGCACGGCTCGGTCTTCTTTCTCGACGTGAACAAAGTGAAATATACGTGAAGCTGGAGATGCGTCCGAGGAAAGCACGGATATTCAATATCACCAGAATATTCAGTGGAGCCAGCCGAATCGAAATTTGATTAGTGCCATCAGGAAAGAAATTCGAATGAATTACACCGTTTGCGATTTTAAATGCGTTAGCGAGACAGTAAGGAAGGTGATGAGTGGCTTTTGAGTTTGATGTTTCCATGCGACTCAAACTTTTGACTTGAAACCTGGTGAAAATTTTTAGTTTATTGTAGTTCTAAATATTTAATTTTTCACTGACTCAGGTTATACTTATTTTTTAAAAATTTTTCAGCTTTTTTTCTTTCCTTTTGAGTCATTCTATTTGGAAAGTTTTTATATATTAAAATCGATAAATGGATAAACTATGGTCGATTGATGTATTGCTTACACTAATAACAATTCATGCATAAACGAAAATAAACTGAATTCAAATTCGATTGGTACTTGGGACCAACCTTCTCTTCCCAGGCGGCTCTCTGGTGCCATCCTAATAGTCAGTGAAAACAAAATAAGAATAGTGAATGCTGCGGAAAAGAAAAATAAGTAATTAAATTTATATATGTGAATTATTGTTTCTCTTTTTACGATTATGTTTTTGATTATTTCTTTTTCCCTCAAATTCTATTACGGAAAGAGAGAAGCAAAATTTTATTTTTCTGCACCTATTCACTGAAATTCTTAAAAGCAATTTAGTTGGCCATCCACAAATCGTTGGCCAATTTTTATTGATTTCGAGCGTGTTTTTTCTATTTGAGTAAGTTGCTAACAGCAATTTTATATTCCTTCCTTGCGCAATCGATGAACAATCGTAGCCGAGCAGCCAAGCAAGCAATCTGGCTCGCCTCTCAC